ACCATCAACCCTATCACTACCACATCCACCACTAAACCATGTCCCTAAGAACTACACCTCTTATATACTCCTACTCCTATGTCACTTCGCTTGTCAGCATCTTACAATGCCTAACCATCTGCTGCATGAAGAAATTCTATCTGATACATAATTTACATCTCCCCTGGTGGATTTTGAGTCTGGTTCCTCATAACTTTTATTTCTACTGTCTTTTTCTCCTTCATGTGCATCCAGGGAATGGATTACAGAATTCAGCCAGAGGGCACGTAGGTGCAGGCAGGTCTTGCAGTCGATACTGATTAAGAGATACGTGATTAAGAGAGAGGGGTAGGGACAAGTGTTCGTGTGGTTGCATGACAGGGGAGGAAGAGAAAGGTAAGTTGCTATTGACTGAAGTTTTCCAGAGCACCATGACCACACATCCCAAAACACCTCCCAAGAGCCAGATTGAGATACAGAAAGGACTAAGAATACAAATGACAAAGTGCATCAGGAAAATGGCAGGTAAAACTACTAAACATCACCACCATTCCTGGGAATTCGTTAGATGAAAAGGACAGATGAGTGGAGAAGATGTTTCTCCATAATTCCCACAGAAGACAACACTGAGACAGTTTTCATCCTCTGGTGTAGCTGGATTGGGCTCAAATTTCACAGTCCCAGAGGAAAAAATACTGACATAATAGGAAACGGGAATTTTCTCAATTACTATTAACTGGCTAGTGGGTCGAGGCTTTTGTGGAGAATTCCTGGTTTAGGGCATCCAACACTCAGTGATGTCAGATACCTCCATGCAAAGCCACTGATAGGTACAAGTCACCACCTCCAACTCTCTGAAGAGAGCTTTCACTTACAAAAGTTGGTTTCTGGGTTTAACTGTACTAGAGGAGAAACTGCAGTTATACCCACATCCTCTCCTCTGCAGGGTGTAGGACCTGACAGTACTAAGAGCTAGAAGAGCTGGCAACAGTCCTTGCTGCAAAGATATGCATGTGCACAGAAAGTGCACTAGCTAGGCTGACACTTGAGCTATTTGGAAACAGTGAACAGATCAAAACTGGAAAATAAAGTAGAAGGTCAGAAAAAGAATAGTAGAGATAAAGAGATAAGATAGGAAGTTGCCCACTTTGGGAGAGAGAAGATACAGAACGTGTTGAAGGTCCAGGAGATGCTGGCAGAAGGGCACGGGAGCTGGAGAAGATTTATTTGGCAGGTTTATGAAGTCCCTGTTGCCCCTGTATCCATCCTCTTATAGATCCATTCTTTACATAGAACAGATGAAATGGCTCGCTTCTTTCTGCACAGGGCCAGGAAACAGAAAACTTCTCAGGAAAACATCCCCTGGCAAAGGATTTCCTCCTTTTCTGTTAAGAGTTTATGATAACAATCCCACTTCTTTTCTAGTAAATTCCAGTTTTAGGGTCAATCAGTTACAGCAGTGCTAATCCACGATTACTCATTTTGCCTGCTTATCTCTCTCCATGGTGAAACCTGCAGTATTTAGAAAACAGTGGGAAAAGATAAGGCTCCAGAACATCAGTGCATACACTGTGGATGCTAATAGCAGGGAAGAGATTTTTCTTTATGAGGGAAGGTCTAAATAGGTTACAACTCAAACTTTTGATTTGTGAAGGCAAAGAAAGCTGTGGTTTCACTTACCGCAGTTGACTGCAGCAATGCTGCTTTTTATGTCAACATACATTTTAGTAAATGTTAGCTTGTACTCTGTAGTGATGGATTGTTTGCAGTAACCTTGGGAATAGTGCTCTTATCTCATATTTACACAACAAGTGCAAAGAAACGAGATTAGGTATTTTTCCACAATGTTGAAAATGTTGGTTTTTTTCTTCTCCTTTCTTGAACAAGGACTGAACTTTAAACATTTCAAACATGCTTGGCCCCACTTGGAAGATGTGTTGTTAATGTGGTACCAATCATTTGCTGGCAAGTCCCACCTTGACTGGAGAATACTCAAACTAGCTTGAGTGCACCTTGTGTCTCAGGTCAAGTGCAACAATTGCGTAGGATGGTAAGAAGGGAAATGGAAAGGAGAGTCACAGAAAGGACTTTTCTGATGAGCAATATCTCCTCCATCTCCCACACAGAGCAGCTGGACAAAACTGAATGGCTCTGTAACATGAATTTAAAGTCAATTAAAGATACTTGAGGAGGGTGTGAGACACCAGTGGAACATCAGCTCCAGCTGCTATAGGTCTGTGTCTTTCAGGTGAGATCTTCAGGACAGATCGCTCTGTCTTCACATTGCGTCTTTTGCTACGATTTTGCCATCTTAACCATACCATGCCATAGGTCAGGTCACCTGGCTTGCTTTCAGTGCTTATCTACTACTGATTTTGATTTTGTTCTGGTATGCGATTGTGGAAAAGGAGTTAAAAAAAGTAAGTTTCTCTTAGCAGGGATATTCCAGTTGTGTAACTGCCTCTAGAGAATTTTTCTCAAAGCAAAAGAACTTTGTTAGGCATGTAGGACGCTTACAGTTTTTGTTGCTCTGACAATTGCTCAACTGAACTGCCTCCAACTCCTTAAACATGCCTCATATTTACATCACCAATTGCAAACAGTAATTACCCAAACCCTCAAAACTGGTGTTTGCCTGACAGACAAACTCAGTACTTGTTCTCCTCAGCGGACCTCTTCCAGAAGCCAAAGTAATATCAAGAAAGGAAACATGCAACAGAAGCAAACAGTGTTTCATATTTTCAAAACACTCTAACATGAATGCAAAGCAGAGGGGTTCCTTCCTACATGCTGCCCTCAGCTAACATCTACCACAATGAATACAAAAGGGAAATTACAAGTTTGCTTTCAGAAGCCTGTTGTTCCTTCAGAGCCCGTGCTGCTTAAAAGGATTTACAAGGCTTTAGCTTTGCACTGGAGCTTTTGTGTTGATAAGACATCTTTCAACAGGAAAAAAGAACATGCAATTCACAGAGGTCACCACAAACATTCCCCAGCTCAGCGACTTCTGCCAGCATGGTGAAATGAAACAGCAATTCCATACAGCAGCATGAGGCTGAAGAGAAGTGAGGAGAACAGAAGTAAATCCCCAGTATGTATTCTCATGGCAAGAAACTGAGTTTCAAAACAACAAAACATTTGCCTACACACTAACCATTCTTCCTTGAATCTGAGATAAAGCCTCTCTCTCAACAATCAACAATAATTGTGTTTCAAAAGCAAGTTTCTCTAAGCACATAGAAAAAAAAATGCATCTTTCAGAGCTCAAATATTCCGTTGCTATAAATGTCATCTTATTCTGGGAGAAAATAATGGAATGGCATCATTGGCATTAAGAATAATAAATAAACAAACAAACAAACAAACAAAAAAAGGCAACTGATGAATGTCGATGCAACATAGTAGTGGTGGTCTTTGGTTTAGTTTATGAACCAGTACTTACATCATTGCTAAAGTCGGAATTGGAGAAATTAAGTCTTAACTGAAGACTGTTTTAAATCCAGAGGAAATACTCTTTGTATCAGACATAAGAATGTAAAGTTTACTATGGCAGGAAGCCTTGCCAAAAGCTTACAAAAAAATATTTCTGTGCTACCAGACAACCACAAGAGACAACTTTTAAGTTGCAAGGATAGGATGTTTCCCAATGCTTCATATCAGAATTTCCATCCTAACATTTTGGGGGGATTTTAAAGCTCTCATATTTCATGCACTTCTAATTTAAACAGAATTTGGCACCTGGAATAATAAAACTGTCTACTGGTAAGAGGAATCAAATCATTACGATGATCATCAGTGTTAACATGATTAATTCCAGTTTACCACTGTCTCTTAGATGGATGCTACAAGGATGTAAGTTGCGAAAACTGTGGCAGATTAATTTTACTTAGGAGAACTGACTATTCATCTGTGTACATGGCCAAGATGCTTCCCACCTCTTCCCACCTACATTCGCAGCCCTCAAAGAGAAAACAGATGCAAATCACTTTGGAGCAGAGAGGGAACTCTGAAAGCCCCAAAGATGGCTTTCTAACAGAGCTAGCACTTGTTTCAGCCCTCATTGTTTTTCCAAATTCCTCAACAGGTATTCTACACAGTAATTGATCTTTTACACATTCTAGTACACTAACATTATTGCAAGTCTTTATTAATGCTCCATACTATGTGCCTTGCATAAAAAACAATCCAAGCCAAATCAGGCTATTATCTAGAAATCAGCATGCAAGCATTTCTTCCACTGCTTTGGGATTGTGCCATCAGTGTCACGTGGAGGGGCTTGTCAGGATTATGAGACTGACTGCACAGAAATAGCCGACGGAGACTTGGCCTGCTTGACCACCTGATGGTTGTAAATCACATGTGCTGTATGGTGTTCACATTAACAGGAGTTGCGTACGCACAGTCAGGCCAAGGAAGTTCCTCTGAGAATGGGGGTTGGCATTAGGACTTGGAATCAGTCTCAGCTTAGGAGAAAGCTGCACATTATGACCATTAGAGCGAGATACAGGAAATTAGACTTTCTTCTCCTCCTGGTTAAAAATCCGTTGCTGGATTTTCGACAAGGTTATCTCCTTCAACACTTGCCTTATTGCAGCTCCCTCAAGGTCAAAGCAAAAGGCAGTGGAGCGGGTATACCCAAGAACCAGCTCAGAGCAGCACTGGGGGAGAAGGGATGTGATGCAGCCTTATGGGTAACAGCAGATACTATCAGCTCATGTCCTCCCCACAAGCTCCAGAGCAGGGCCAATTGGCCCCAAGTGCAGGGAACTCCTGGTGAAGTTATGGTACCAGCCTACCTCCTCTCCCAGATCTGCTACTGCAGCAAAACCTAACCAGCAGTTACTATTGCAGGTGCTATTATGCAGTCTCACTGCTAGGCCCCAGGGCAGGACATCTGAGCCCCTGTCATCCATCTTACCAGAAAACCTAAGCCCTTGAGAAGGCTGAATATGAAAGATGTAGCAGCAGTCAGCTGCTACCAAGTCCCTCTGAAAGTCCCTGTGAAAGGAAACCAAAAGACATTAAAAAAACTGAATGTGTGGTTTATTATATTTAAGATGCTATTTGTCTATAGGGTTTAAATATGTCTGTCACATAGTCAACAGTAAATGAATGTAATTTTACATGTTCAGTATTTTGATACACAGTACAGGACTAAAAGTGTGGTAAAGGAGCATGGGAATTTAGTATTTCCTTGATTCACGTATCAAATTCTGCAGCACCAGATAAACTCTTGGTGTAAGGACTTAAGCTGCAGTATTACAAGCGCTACTAAATAAACCAAGAGGCATACCTACATTAAACGTTAGAGAAACAAAACAAGTGACACAAGGGTTTAATATTTAAGATTTGATACAAGATTAAAATACTAATATTTTTAATGTCCTGGTTTCAAATTAATAAATATAAAAACAATATAAAAATATACACCAGTTGATAAAAGAATGCACTGAGCAAGGTTAGAAAGCTAAATTTCACTTTCAAATGTATGCAGGTATGTCTTTAGGGAGAGGATTTCTGTGTAGCTGCGACTGGTCTTTCGGAAGAAGTCCAAGCTTGTGAGCTGCTCGATGTCCCGCACCCGTGCAGTGTGCATCTTAAGAAGATCTTCAACCCACTTTGATTCATCTTCCAGGCTCTGAAATGAAAAAAACAGAATGTTTATAACTTTTCACATCTAAAGTTAACTCTGAAAGTGAAAGTAGCTTTTCCAGACATTAGGACAATTAACAAGGACTACAGTCACCTGGAAAAGCTGATCCCATGTTGTAGGTATTTCAGGACAGGCTTACAACTTTAGAAAATTCATTGGTCACCATATAAAAAAAAATTGTCACTGAAAGAGCTCCATATCAATCAGCTGTTCCGTGTCACCAAAACCCAAACCCTAGCACGTGCCCCATTTTTAAACATTATTCTCATCTGATTTGCAACTCAAATGGGGACCAGGCCAACTGTGTTCTGGGCTGCATTAAAAAAGGGGTGGCCAGCAGGGAGAGGGAGGTGATTGTTCCCCTCTACTCAGCTCTTGTGAGGCCCCATCCGCAGTACTGCGACCAGACCTGGAGCCCCCAGTGCAGGAAGGATGTGGAGCTCTTGGAGCGGGTCCAGAGGAGGGCACTGAGATGATTCTCTCCTATAAGGAAAGGTTGAGGGAACGGGGATTGTTTAGCTTGGTGAAGAGAAGGCTCCAGGGAGACCTCATTGTGGCCTTCCAGTACTCGAAGGGAGCACATTAACAGGAGGGGGAATGGCTGTTTACATGAGTTCATAGTGACAGGACAAGGGGGAATGGTTTTCAACAGAGACAGGAGATGTTCAGGTTGGATATTAGGAGGAAGTTTTTCACACAGAGGGTGGTGAGGCACTGGAACAGGTTGCCCAAGGAGGTTGTGGATGCTCCATCCCTGGAGGCATTCAAGGCCAGGCTGGATGTGGCTCTGGGCAGCCTGGTCTGGTGGTTGGTGATCCCGCATATAGCAGGGGGTTGAAACTAGATGATCACTGAGGTCCTTTTCAACCCAGGCCATTCTACGATTCTATGACTCAACTAACACAGTATTATTTTAATCTTTCCACCTTATTTTTTGTTGACCTCTTTGATTCCTTACGCAACTGGGACTACACCTTTTATTGGTAGCTGGAAAATACTGCTATTAAAACATACATATTACTCACAGATAGGAAAAAAACCCCACAGAAAACAGCCCCAAAAGCCAAACAAACAAACAAAAAACCTTTCACTAGATGTCTGACAATATGAAAAACAATCAGGAAGGTGCTGCTGCCAGAGTGATGGGGTTGGACTGCGTGGGTGTAATCTCCCTTAGGGAACTGCTCCAAGAGGCACAGGCAGTCACCACATCAGCTCCCTGCTGCTCACCTTGTACCAGATCCAGCATATGTTGGAGCCATCCACAACCTAATTTATCTCACTACAGAAATCAGAAAAATCTGCCTTGCAAAACCCTGCAGTTACAGGCTGTTTGAGTGTGTTGAATCAGCCCAGTGTCATGTTCCAAGCACCCCTGGGGACATGGTGAGGAACAGACCCGGAAAAAGAATGGGGCAAATAGGACTTTTTCCCCTCTGTCCGTGCAGGCTGGTACATCTGGGGACGTGCATCAGGAACAGAGGGGTTGAACCTCAGGTTGAGGCTCATGTATGTGACCTAGAAATCTAGCTGATAAAATTTCTCTTTCTGGGCTTGCTCCAAGTGAGTCTCTGACGGCCTCAGAGGATGTCTCCCTCCAAAACACACCCTCACATGAAGCTAGTCATGCCAGAGCCTAACCGAAACAGAAGATGTCCCACAGACCAGTTTATGGGTCACTCTGTAAAGCCCAGGAGGGTGAGCTTGATGGTTTGCACAGAGAGAACACAAAGTACTAGTTTAGTCACAACCAGCTGCTCTAAAGCAAATGTCCATTTGTCAACAAATGACATTTGCTCATTTATTTTAAACTTTTCAGCTCCAAACCCACTTTCTTCTCCACACTGGAAGCATGGCCCAAAACCATGACTGGAGCATGAAATAAAGATCCTTACTAAGATGGAAAAGAAAGGAGTGTGCCCTGCTCTTTCTCCTCCATCTGGGGTGCCATGCCGCAGGAGCACCACATGGCAGCCTGCAGCCATGGGAATAGAAGAGTCCTAGTCAGCCAGTCGCATTGCTTGTCTGCAGACAGGCCTCAACGAGGCTAAATGCAAACACTGTAACATTTCTCTTGTCTTCAAACCTTCTTCTGATCAGCAAATCTGCTCTGCACAGAGCTCACAGGACTGTCGGGTTTGTTTCAAACCACGTCCAGTGACACAGCATTTCCATGAGCCTAGAAGATCGGTCAACTGGTCCACACTAATTTTTCCATTCCATAACTGGCCCACAAAATCTCACCTCAAGCAGCAAGGATTTTAAGCACAGTGATCAGTTAGTATGGTATATATTGTTGTGGAAATGAAGTGTACATTGAAAATGATGTTTTTCTCCATCTTTGCTTGTTAGTCTCACTTCAGCAGTACAGTGGGTCTTAGAAGTAAAAAATAACTATCGAGAACTTGGAGGTAAATAGAAAAAAGCAATAAAATAGGAAACTAACCTAAAATCCAGATATCAGATATTCTATGAAAAAGAACTCCTGTATTACCCATCTCTCAAATATCAGATTGTTGGCTGGAAAGCTCAAGATGACCAGAATTATATAGGTGGGTGAGGAACTTTCTTGTCAAAAAAGAAATTTAGAGTCACCACAGAAAAAGGAACTGTGTACTAGAGGAAGTTTCTAGTAGTTCCTCCAGCTTTGGTTTTGGAAAGGATTTTTATTTAGTATTTTCATACATGCTTTTTGTGCCAAGGTCATTAGTTTGCTACTAAAAGCAACTGGGAGCTCTTGTCAGTGCAGAGGAAGGCTGGAACACCATACTGCAGGATGCAGATGACGGAGTCCCTGGTATAGTATGAAATTTGGTTACCCATGTTGACAGTAAGAATTTCTGCTAACCTGGGAAATTTTCAGGTGAAACAGCAGATAGAAGGAAAGGTCATGGGTGTGCTGGTTTATTATGTGATATTGTGAGCCACCTTTATAATGCAGCTATAGAAGAAGCAAATCCTAGATAGTACCAGAGGAATGATGTGAAATGGAAAGATAATCATTTGCATTTTGAGGTATAAGCTGGAATACTTTATCTCATTCGTGTTCCAGAAAAAAAGTCAGACAAGAATAGATATAGAGGAAGGCTAATAAAATGCTCTTCCTCTCTTACAAGAAGAGCATAAAAGGTCCCGGTCACCCATGAACAGAGAAAAGTATATGCTTTGAGAATCATCGTAAATCATCAGCAGGGATAAATCCCAAAGAAGACCACTGAAGGGCTATTTAAGCCATAGAAAAATGTTGACACAAGAATAAATGGGTATAACCTCACCATGAATAAACACAGTTTGGAAATGGAACAAATTCTAATGAGAAGAGTAGTGGTGTTCTCCAACGGCTGTGTGAGGAGAGAGAAAGTATGTGTGACAAGAGCAGAGCTGGGGAAAGCTAATATTTCTTTACATCTGAAAAGAAAGCTGTGGAGAGGCTAGGGGAAAATTCTTACATTATCCCAAGCATTTAATCTGTTTTAGACAGTCACTTCTTTGAATATGTGAGATGAAATATCAAGTGCAAAAGTAAGACAAACTGCATTGGAATAGCAAAATTTTGCTTGTTCTTTCACTCAAGAACTACAGTTCTTGATATATTTTTCAACTGCTTCTTTATTACGTCAAGCACAGTGCAACAGCTGCTAATGAGCTTGTATAGCAGAACTGAAGGTACTCTAAATACATATACCATAAGTAGCATGACCAACAGAGAAAAGAAGCTTGGGTTGGAATGTAAGAAATCGAAGAGTAAAAATTATTACAAGCCATTCTTAAAAAAGATTTCAGGATTTTAAAAGCACAATGACACACAATAGAAGGAAGAAAAAAATCACAAACAGGCAGAAATACAAGGACAGATAAATGCCAGATAGTAACTTGCAGATCCCCAACTAGACCTTCATTCAGATGAAGGCAGGCTGGAATAAAATCACAGTGAAATACCTTGAAGACTTTCCAAGTCTTCTGATAGAAGACATCTCTGCCCAAAACAGTTAAGAGTCTAAATGGAGGGAATCCAGACCTGCTCAAGAGAGGAGTACTGCTCCAAAAGCGTGGTTTCAAACAGAGTGACCTGAAAGTAGGCGATGTTTGATGAATGAGAAAGAAACAGTGTTCCAGGTGAATTGTGTACAGAGTTGGAATTACTATTTCTGCTTGTAGCTGGAATAGGAGTCTTAACTTTTTGTGCCAATACAAAATTCATAACATTAATGCGTTCATTCAGGAAACAGACTCCTGGCAGCCTATAGTGAAGCGTCTGTGTGCAGGAATCCGCACAGCTGTGTAATGGGAGAACAAGTTCAGGCGGAAGGACAAGTCTAAATACAGCTGCCTGGGAGGACTGCTGTCCTTGCAGAGTGCTGGAGCTCATGGGGACCCTAATGGCTCTCCTGCCACACCATCAGCTATAGGGCATTTGTGCTGCTTTCTGCAGTTCTGAGCAAACTGAAGCCTTTGTACTTCACCAAGATTCCTATACTACAGCATTTTTTATCCAAAAGGAAGATAGAAAAGGAATGAGGAGGGTGGCTCATCATCTTTGATCTCTGGTAAAGAGAATCTTAATTTTTCCCTTGAATTGAGACATGATCTGGAACCAGCAAGAGCTACTGGCAGCTCTGCCTTCAGCAGGTTTTAGCATACAGTTTAACGCTGTGTGGGTTGGATGTAATCATGCCGTCTGATGCATCCAGACTGCAAGAGCAGACAGATTATATTGTACCTGCATATGGAAACAGACCTCCATAAAAACATTAGGCTGGCTGCCAGCACAATACATCTACTCACACAGTCTTTTTCAGCCTGAGGTTACTCTGACAGTGTCTGCCAAAGCATAGAAGCCCACACACTGTTTACAGCCAACCTAATGTATTTTAGTTCTTCCAGACAATTTTAGGTGCAGTAATAGTTCCACATTTTCTCTGTTACCCCCATTTTTCATAGAAGAGCACTCCTGTCTAATGAGTTGAACGTGACTGAGTCAATACCATGTACTTTCATTTAAGATCATCTAACAGCTAACTAGCGTCTTCCCTGGGAATATCCCAGGGAACATCTACCATCAGGCAGCAGAACTTACATTGCAGCTCTCATCGTTGTCAGGCCGGTGGGGAAGGATGTACGAGAGAACAGAGAGTGGTCCATCACACTTGTCGGCTGGCTGAGTGAAATCTAAACAGCTGGTTATGATGGCATAGTAATGAGTAGGAACAGGGATGGCACTGCCTTCCACAAACCTGGGGAAGTAAAGCAAACGTTTACCCACAAAGGACTAATCCATTTGGAAGAAGAATTACACAGACAATGTGGTCTTTCCTTCCTTACGTGTGAGGATGCATGTACTTGTTAAGATGTGTTTGATTCACAAGCTCGATTTGAAAATGAGCGTTTCAGTTAGATCATGTTTTGATACTGTGCCACAGAAACACCACATGCCAATGCTGAAAGGTTTCTTCAGTTCAGGGAAACAGAGAGCGAGTTTTACAGATTTAACAAAAGCTTAGAGTGTCTAACTCAATAGCAGTATGGTGTGCTCTGGTACCCAGTTGCAACTCTAAGCTTCCAGACAGCTTTAGAGAAAACATTATTTGGAATATAAATCAGCTTCGTCTGAAGGACTCAAGGTGAAGAGTTACGTGGCGAGTTGCCATTCCCTTAATTTTTGCCCTGTCTTATTCAGTCTCAATGAACCATTTTGGACAGAGCCACGAAATTCAACTCCTTCTCAAAATCAAACGAAGTGCAAACAATAAATTGTTTGAGATAAAGTTATCACTAAAAGAAACAGCAGCAAACCAATTTAAATACAAATTCTTACTGTTTGATCTTTTCAGGTGTGTCATGTAAACCATCGTAGTCATAGTCAAAGATTGGTCCACTTATAACATTGACTCCATTTCGTTCAGTGGCATATCTCTTCACTAAAACCCTTTGGAAATAGTTCCATACCTCTATGGGGGAGAAAAAAAAAAACAACAACAACAACTAAAATTTGGATAAACATATTAACATGTCAAGATTGTAAATAATTTTTTTTTGCATGAAGATAAAAATCCAGTGGGCATCATTCAGACAATAGGAGAGGAAATCACAGACTAAGCTTTACAGGTTTACTGCAACTTCATTCTGTTTTGGTCAATAAAGCCTTCAGAATTCTTTGTTCTCTCTTGATTTTTTTTTCCCCAACTAGCAATAAAGGAAATGCATGGTCCCATCCTAAGCCTGGCATTGCCCTAGACATTGCACAGAGAGTTTGCTGTTCCTTCACTGCCAGCAGAAGCAGCTATTCTCACACTTTTGATGTCCCTGTAAACATTTCCTTTGTCCTCCTTATCTAATTACTGGGTATGTTGGTTTTTCCTTTTTTTTTTTTCTTTTTTAATTCACAAAAGGAAATAGTACTATGATTAAAAGCAAAGCTCAAATATTTTAAAAGTCAGGGAAATACAAAGGTCATATTATTTCTCACAAATATTCACTGAATATAAAAAGTCCAACCTCTAAATCAGGTGCCATCTAGGATGGCCAAATTATAACAAAGCATCTCATTAAGGCAGAGGTTTGCCTAGTAGAGAACTTTAACCATGATTTTTGTGAAAAGCATGACACTTTCTCCCACTACAACCTTCTGAATCTTCACAAGTTGTTTACAGAGACTTGCTGAGAAATACACTGGGATCTCCAGTTGCATAATTGTTTTCCCTCTTTTTTTTCCCCTTTTCATTTTAACACTAACAGAAGTGTGTGCAAGCAAAACAGCTCTAACTTGTATAAAGTTAACTTTTGCCTTGCCAGCTCAGACTGCTTAGCTCATGGTTCCCCAGCACTGACAGCAGCACCAGCCTCAAGAACTTCCTTCCCTAGTGTGTTTTGCCAAATAGATGCTCAGGCTGGTGCAGAAGCACCCACAAGCTGGTCTAACAAGAACCTCAGCTGCAGTAACCACTTGGCAGTCCCACTCCTCCAGCTGCTCACTCCTTTGATGCATCAGCCTTAACAACAAAAATAGCCCCAAAAGGAAAGATTTTTGCAGCTGAATCAGTTCCCACATTGGTTTTCCACTTGAAGCCGCACAGACAGCAATGCCAGTGCTGCAGCCTCGGGGCATGATCCTGCAGCTCCCCTAAAGTGGGAACTGCTTAAGCCAGCTCCATGTAATGAGTGGTCTGAGCTCTGCATTGCAACCTGCACATGTGTACTAGTTCATAATTCCCCAGGAGTACTACAAGTTACAACATTTGTTCTCAGGTGATTCTTCACTCGGTTCTGATGAAGTTGGTGGCACTGGGATAAAAAGCACTGCTGGTGGTGTGTTGTTCTCCTGTGATGAGCATCTCAGCAAATTTACATAGACTAAATTAGCATAAAAAGCAGTTTTATGAAGTGATTTTAGAGCGGGAAATCCCCAATAATTTTGCTCTCTATAATCAGTTAAGTGTGCCTTTCTTCAAATTTCCAGCAAACATCACCATTTGTTCCTACTCAGAGGTTTTGCAGTTAAAAGCACTCTTCTTAGGCTAAAAAGAAAAAGCCTCCCATAGTCTTTGATGTTTATCCAAACCTCCCTGGCCTAAAATCTGAATTGGAAATCTCACAAGAACAGGCTCTTGAGATTCTTTCAAGGCTTCCCAATTCCTGCCAAGCCAAAAAATGCCACCAGAATAGTTTGATGGTTTTCCTACCTCTTGGCAACACTCGAGAGAAAAGTGATGTTCAGACAAAAGGAACTTTAATACTATATCCTTGCAGCACTGAAAGTTTCAGTTGGTTTTAAGTCATTCCTCACTTTCCATAAATTGGTTTGTTTTTCCTTTTTCTTGAAAGGTAATAAAAATGTTTGGTCTACCTCTAAGGGTAGGGATAGAAAAATCAAAGGTGCTCCAGATGCCGCTTGTCCCTGAACTACAACATGCTAAGTGCACACTCCCAGACTGCTTCTGTTGGGAAGTAAAAACATGTTGTCTGAGTACATTTTGCACAAACTGGGGTCACAAACAAGAAAATCTGAATGGTTTTGCACAAACTGACTTTGACACTTCAGCAAAATTGCTGAACTCCAGGAACTGACTGTGCCTGTGCTCTTAGCCCAGCAGCAAGGAAAATAAACCCTCCCTAAACCTTACATGTTTCTTGTGGTACAAAAAGCCTGTGCCTTGAACTGAGATTCCCACGTATATTATCTGCTGCTTAGAGGTAATTAGATTTATGTTCTAAATTTCTCCCATCCATTCATTCCACAGTTCAGCAGACATTTTAAAAAAATGTTACAAGCTTGGGAAAAAGAGACAAAGCCAAAGAAACAACACTTACTTTTGAAAGCAGGATACATTGGAATGATATTTGTTATTAGAAAAGCATCATACTTTGCTTCTGCAGAGGAACTTAGTTCTGAAAAAAAAAAAATACTGATGAGATGAAATGTCAGAATTCAAAGAACATAAAAATGTTTTCAAAAGTGGCTTTAGTGAGTAACCAAACGGAATACTGTCATCAAAACAGAAGTCAGCTGCTCTGTGTGCTTTCATAAAACAGTCACACAATTTATAGGCAGAGGGCTGTGGGATTATCTTCCAGTTCTGAGCAAGCCTTCAGCATGAGTAATTCTACATCAGAAATCCATTCTAAACTCTTTCAGCCACTGTATAAGGAAGGCAGAGCAATGAAGTTCACGTCTGTGACGCAGCAAAGTTGTTTCCCATGAACATGTACTAAATATACAAGTTTTTTTCGAAGACTTGACAAATATATCTGTACCAGAACACTCATTTACAGAGATTTTCTACTAGCACTGTTTCTGGAGATGGTAGAATTCTATTTTGTTTTTATACTGTGCAACAATCTAATATGGACTTACACATTATATATATTTATTCTTCTGTTGTTTGAAGTCAAAATTATGAATCAAATAGATTTCCAGCTTATATGTGCCAATATATGTCCATTGATATTAAAAGGCCAGCTTTTAAAGACTGTCTTACAGCTTGTGCTTCTAGTCTGTGCAACTCTGCTTTCACCTTTGTTTTTATTAACTCAAGAGGTACACTTTATCTTTTTCACACATGAAGCTAAGTTCCAGTTTGGAGTACCTCTCCAGTCTTGTGAAAGTGAGAGGTCACAGTCATGATGGCAACTTCTGGCATTCAGCCCTTGGTCCTGAGCACACGCAGCGAGAATAATGTATCCATCCCATCTGGCATCATATGTGATGCTGGTGCTGAACCAGGTCCTCTGTGTGAAGGAAGGATTCACCCCAGGAAGTTGAGAAATTGGAGGATTCCTACCTATATTTTTTCTCAACAATCTCAAAAAAAAAAAAACCCTGGAGTCCCTTTCCATTTCCATCTGGGTTTTTTTCATACCTAAGTTTTTCTGTAGTTAAGCAGAAATTTATAAAACCACTATTTGTTATTTTAAAAATGAAATGAAGTGTCGTGCATATAAATGACATTCAAGTCCTTGAATTCTGTAGACTTGCTACTGAACTTACGAGGAGGGAAGAGGAAGCCGTAGGAGAGCTGCCTGTCACCTCTGTAGGCTGAGCAGCTCTGGCTGTTTCCTGGAGATATGCGGAGATCGGGCCTGACACAGCTGGCCAGGTGCTCTGGCACACCGGATACCTCTGCCTGCATTGAGCAGTGAAAGAAATGTAAATCCAGCACTTATAGCTAAAAGAAAATGGCATCTGGTAGTCTACAGATTGTAAGTCTACACTGTGTACAGTGATCCGTACCACAGCTCTACAACCAAGTCTGCCCTTCCTTCAGGCAGCTGAAATTCAAATGAAGTAACTGATTGAAAGAAATGGGGAAGACAAATGCCCACTGAGAAAAGCTGAGAGTTAAAATGAAAACAGGAAAAGAAATATTCAAACAATCTGCCTTAAAAATTCGTTTCTCCTACGGTATTATTTTCAGTGGCATTTGGGAGATAATTTCTGATCGGAAAAATCTGTTTGGGAAAGGGGATTCTACAAATTCAAAAACACACATAGCAAATAGACTTTCCAGGATTTTTTTAGAGCAATTTCCAAGAGAAAAGTCATCACCAACCTGTTTGGAAATAGTGTAGGATGTCCAGAGAGGCATCAGGAATGTTTCACTGTAGCCACTTTCAAAGTCATGGTGGTGCAAGATATTGTACTTTGTGCGGTACAGCACTGCGGGGCGCCCGTACAGAAGATGCTTCTCTACAGATCAGATGAAATTACACTTAAATTTATCACTCAAAACCTTGAAGTTGAAAAAAAAAACTGCTAAGGATATCCTGTAACATAGGGAATAGCTGTTCTTCAATAGTTTTGATTGGGATCCCACTCCCAGGCTCAAAATTCACTTCGAGCTTATAAGTTTTTTCTGCAGTTGAGAAACTGTTGGGGTCATAATATGTTTCTCCAGGCACAGGAGACAAGGATCTCTGTGTCTACATTTGAAGCATGTGAGGTGAAAATCATTCTGTTGCCTTAAATCTGCTCTCATCCTATCACTCACTGTCTCAGTTTTCCTGTTTTTCTCCTCTTCCTCTGTTTTCTGTACAACACTAAGATCTTCACAAAAGGAAGGCAAAGGAGTCTACTCAATAAAAGAGTTTTGTTGTTTTTTTTTTTTTCACTTGGCTGCTACAGATGATATTCTGAAGACCTACATGCTATTTTCTGTCAGAAATATCAAATTAAAACAAAACAAAAAACCCTCTTCCTAACTTTGGCTACCAAAAATACTTCCAAATCCATACATTTTGCTTTTCTTCTGCTCTTCTGATGTGTTATGGTTAAGTGTCACTAGATACCTCTGATAATTTTTTTTATCTTTTCATAAACAAAAAAATAAACAAGATAGAGGAAAAACAAATTTCCTGGCTAATCTTGCACTGTGCTGCATTCATTCATTTTGATAACCAATCGGAAAACAGGTTTGGCTTGCTTTTGGAAATCAAAGCATAGAAATGAGGTAACCAGCCTAAACGCTGTTCATAGATAGGCATTTAACTTTAAAGAAAAGGGCATCTTTTATTAGTGTTTAAGTCCAAATATTTTTATAGGATGCAGAAAATAAGTAGGAAAAACCTTGTGTAAGGACAAAGATGAAAAACTTCCCTTCTTCGAGAGAAGCTGAAGGAATTCTTCCTGCTGCTTATGAATAACAATCATGTTCAGGTAAATGTTCCCCAAATGGGACAAGTGAATTACCAACTAAACGCAGGAAGATCCAAGAATGCACGCTATAGCCTGTCACAAAATATAACAAAATAACTGATACAAAGTAGAACTTTTTGTTGTTCACATAAGGGAAATCTACCTAGTTCCACATAACTGACAGCTCACAAACAAGTAACTCAAAAAGATACAAATGCTTATTTCTTAAAATACAGCAAAAGTATTTTTTTATACTACTGGAATGAGGAAGCATCCAAACCTAAACAAAATAAAGATGTTGAGATATCCAGGAGCACAACTACTTGGTTTTTTGTTTCTTTTTCCTTTTTTTTTTTTTTGTCTTTTCTAATGCTTAAAATAGCTACAGCCAGGAGTAGCCCATCACTAATTGTAAAAATCAGTTTAGCAAGATGGAAGCTGTAAAAAGGCAATTTACTCACAGAAAAATTAACAATTTCACCTGCAGAAACTAAAGAATAGGCTGCACTGCCTGCTCACAGAAGTAAAACTAAAGCAGCTTTGTAAGGAATCTCAGTCTTCTGATTATCTGAAGTATCTCCAGTCTAAACCTGTCTACACTTAAGTCTAAATTCACAGAATCACAGAATTTTAGGGGTTGGAAGGGACCTCCAGAGATCATCATGTCCAACCCCCCCGCCAAAGCAGGTTCCCTGCACCAGGTCAAAGATTTAGAATTTGCTAAGATGGAGAAGAAGAAATATAAATCTTTATGATGAGGGGGACACTGCCAACTATTACTGGTACATTTTTAACCTGGATAGCAGCCTGACACACAGCTGACAACACAGCTGCAAGAACATTGGGTTCAGCATCAAGGGCACAAGAACAGCCATCCAGAGGAGCAGAGTATGCTTTCTCCTGGGAGAAACACTGGTAGTGAAGGACAAAGTTGCACTGAGCATCGCTGAACCGGGAACTGCTGATGTATTTGTTTGATGAAAGTTGAGTGGATAACCTGCACTCTAAAAAACAAGCACTACAAGCCAATCAGGAGTTGTCAAAGAAGCTGCACCGTGCTCTCCACTGATGATCTGGTGAAACACCCAATCAATGCTGGAAAACCAGTGTGCAGATGTGGTCTATGTTTTTTACCCCATCTATTTCTTGTGCTTAAATAGAGCACTGCTTCATGCTCTTTCTCTTTTCCTCCTTTCTCTGCTTCTACAGCAGAGATTAAACCTCCTAACAGTGATGAAAAAGAACTAAAACTTGTCTCACTTTGAGGGATTCTTCAGTTCTGATCACAGCAAAAGGTAGTGTGCACTTTGCCATGTGAGCAGCAGTTAGTCTTGCCCACATAAATCATATATGTCTGTATGTTCTTTTGACAGTTATTTGAAAAGTTGATTTACTACACATTAACTAAAATTAAACAGGAACTTGTTTGGTATCAGTGATGCAAATTAGCTAGCAAAAGAAAACAGAAATAGCTTTTATTAACTGATGCAGCAAGCTCTTACCTTCTGTTCCCTTGACATGAAAGCGCTTGTTGAGTTCATCCAACTTGTTCTTCTCAAGAATAGAAAAAAAGAACAAGATTAGGATCACTGGAGCATCTTGTTGAACTAGGCATCTAGCAAAACAAAACTAACACTATAAAACAAAGACAACTGTTTTGTTTCCTGTTTCCAAGAAGCAATAATTGTTCCAGATGCAAAGAACATTTCACAGGAAGGATCTGGGAAATTCCTGCAGATCAAACACTCTCAAAATAGCTATAATGACTATAAACTTTATTAGACAGTTGTGGCTAACAGTGGGAGTATCAACAGATACTAACACTTACCTTATCATCACATGTACATCCTATATCAAAATCTGATGCAGAAGGCAGAGCTACAGGATAAAGTGGCTTAGCAACTTCATCTGGCACAGTTGGTTTATAAACATTGGCTCTTAGCAGGTGATTCAAACTTCCATGGGTCCCATTATTGGGAGCAGGCTTTAATCCAAGCAGATCTGTGGAAACACCCAAGGAAAGTTAATGATGGTTAGACTGGAAACATATGTATTTAGCAGTAAATATACTTAGCAAAGATATTTATTTGCAATACTGTTTACATCTATGCCATGCTAATGAATGCTTTTAATGTAATAAAAATAAAAATGCTAATCCAAAACATAAAATTGCAAATCCTGCCTGAATAACATGGTAGACTGTATGAAAAGAAGGTTAATTTGCATGAAGACACCAGGAAACCATTTTATTATAACTACTGCAGTTTCCAACACAAACCTACAATCCAACCATCTGGAACACAGTGTTATTAGTGACCTGCTTTGCACATATGGGCTAACTGCCTTTTTGATACTTCATGTTTGGAAAAAAAAAAAAAAAAAAAGAGTAAATAAGTTAATTATACATTCAGCTAGCAAGTTTTATTCCTGTGTTAAATCATTATTAAATAAAAGACTGTACAGAATATCAGAATGTATCATCTGTAAAAGTTTAGGAAATATAATAATATTAGGAAATGCCATAGAAAGCTAAATGATGCCCCTGAACTGCTCCCCGAAACATGGAGGTACAGAAGCCTCCTTCCTAGACTAATGAGGTCTGTATATGCAAATGTGCGCTGTAGTGGTGCATATTTGATTTGTGCCAATCTGCATGCAGCAGAACTATGTTAATACGTTTTATTGGCAAGCTGCTAAAGTAGAGCAAGCCCAGCCCCCTGAGAAATGCCCTCAGTGTTTGGGAAGGAGACCCTGGGGAAGGGATGCTGGGAGAGAGACAGGGCCTGAGCCCAGAGGTGTCTAATAAACCCTTATGGTTAAAGCAGCATGTTTCTCTTACAACTCCTCAAGCAGGCAGCTTACCACACATGACATTGTAAAGTTCAATGTTTTCAAAGGGAGGTACTTTGGTCTTGTATTTGAATGTAGGTCCATAACCTATGAAGACAGTCTTTAAAAAAAATAAAAAAAAAAAAGAGTGAGAAGAATACAGAAGAACAACTTTAAATCATAGGGTTTATTTCAGTGAATATTTACATTTTAGAGATCTGAAATATCTTCTGGCTTAACAACACTTCTGTAAAGATTACTGCATTGCTCGTACCTGCATGCTGTTTATCTTGTTGTCATAGCCATGGTCTCCATGGAAGAAACACTTTCCTGTTGGTTTCTTGTAAACATCCACAGCTTTCCTAAATTGAAAAAGTATTAGCTATTTTCTCAGCTTGTGACTGAATACTATTTTACAAAATATGTGAAAAAATAAGTATTGCACCCTAGGAAGTATAATTATCAGCTTGCTCCTGAACACTTTTTTGCATATGATTTCACCAGGGCCATGTATAAGCAAGCCATGCAGTGGACTGGACTATCCTACAAATTCATTTATTTGTGTGTATTAAAATTATGCCCTGCAAAAATTTGATTCAAGCCTTGTAAATTACTAGAGTTTCCAGTACAGCAACCGGGTCAAAAACAACCATTTTTCTGGTTGTGAGTATACAATTAATTACACTAACAAATAGATCACTAGTGAATCAGATTTCAGAACATATAAATAATAAATAAAGGAAATATGTTGATGCAATTAATAAAAAAATGATAAACTTGACCCTCCAGCCTAATCCCATCAATTCCAGTAAAAATCTTAAAATTAAAAATTTTGATAGGCCTAAAATTCTGTCCACTTCTTTGAGATGTACGTGAGCCCTAGCCACAGAAACTATACAAGGCAAATGGCCAACTGGCTAGTGAAATTTTGCAAGAAAGCATTTGGAGCTTCTCATTCACTGCTTCAGCAGAATGATCCTTGCATAATTCACAGCACGGTATGCACAGATGTCAAAAGGCATTTACAACACACCTTGTGTTTGCCTGGCAGCTATATAGGTAAAGAAAATTGCCATGATTTAAAGCTCATAACAGAGTGGCATATGCTAAAATCTCTGTCATTTTCCAGGAACCACTGAGTCAGCTCTATGCGTTAAGACCCAGTCGTTCTCTGCTGTAATACAAAATGTGGCAAAAGATCAAAGCAAGAAAAGCAGTATACATTAAATCAGAAACTCATAAGCCAAGGCAACTCCTCTTCTGCTCACACAGAATCACAGAATTGTAGGGGTTGGAAGGGACCTCCAGAGATCATCGAGTCCAACCCCCTGCCAAAGCAGGTTCCCTACACCAGGTCGCACAGGTAGGCATCCAGGCAGGTCTTGAACATCTCCAGAGAAGGAGACTCCACCACCTCCCTGGGCAGCCTGTTCCAGTGCTCCGTCACCTCACTGTAAAGAAGTTCTTGCACACATTTGTGCAATTTGTGCACACAATTTCCTCTGCTGCAGTTTCTGGCCATTTCCCCTTGTCCTGTCTCCACTCACCACTGAAAAGAGTCCGGCCTCGCCATTCTGCCCCCCACACCTTAGATACTTCTAGACCTGGATCAGGTCCCCTCTCAGTCTTCTTTTCTCAAGTCTGAACAGACCCAGTTCACTCAGCCTTTCCTCGTAGGAGAGATGCTCCAGGCCCTTCACCATCTTTGTGGCCTCCGCTGGACTCTTTCCAAGAGATCCCTGTCTTTTTTGCTCACTCTGTGGTTTTTCTCCATCATTTTGAACCAAGAGCATTAAAAATTGTCCATGCTTTATAACTGAAAATTCAGAGGCAAATGGCAAAGGCCAAGCCAAAACAGGATTTGCTTTGACAGAAAGCATCCTGTTTAGCTGTGGATTTGTTTTGCAACAAAATACAATGCAGACATTTCAGTGATGAGCCTATACTACTCTTTCACATGTTCTCAGCTTTACATTCACTATGTAAATATCTCAATTTTCTTTCCATTTACCCTGTACTTCCACCCAGCCTCTTGTACCCTAACTTCTCCAGTCCTCCCATATTCCTCACTACCTGGTTGGAGTAAGTTTGCACCTTACTAAAAAAGTTTATCAGTTCCTATATATAAGCTAATTAGTCAAAAAACACAGTTGTTCAGGAAAGGAAAGTAATCTGGGTTTCTCTCTTTCATCCAACAACTATTTTTCCAAACTGGGACCATGAACCTAATGAATCTCACCAGGAGTTCAAAACTGCTCCTGTTCCCAGATGGCAGGAGGAGGACACTGGAGACAAACTAGTCCCAGGTCTTGTTTTCTCAGAAAGAAAAACACACTGACACTAGGCTGAAAGCAGAGTTTACCTTGCTACATGCCACTTGCGATCGACCAATAAATGGACATCTTCAATTCGTCTGTTGTAAGCATAATGCAAGCGTTTAGGAAGGTGATGTTTCAAGTATGGCTTAAAGTGCTGGTCTGGCTTCCTGCACTGTAAAATAAATGGTTGCAGATGACACTGCTGTCAATTAGCTCAGAGGCACATGAAACCCTGAAGTACAGAAATGAAGCTGTTAAGTGCATTATCGATGATGTCTTGGAAGCAATGTCGTTCTAGATACGTGGTTCAGTCATTTCTTTGTAACGTTTACATAAAATCAGGGCACATGGAGCAATCAAAAGATTTTTGGAAAATTTCATTCTCATGGAAGTCCTTTTGAAAGCATCATGTAAAATGTCATGCTTACTTAAGAATAAAATTCTTCAACTGTGAGCTAACCAAACCCAAGATTAAATTTCAGAGGAAAGATAAATGCTGAAAATACATCTCGTCTGCAGATATATTTAAAGCACTTTGGTTAGCAAATCTCCTTTTTTTTTTTTTTTTTTTTTTTAATGAGTTTTTATTTAAAATACTTTTTTTCCATTAAGCTGGGTTATGGTTTAAGGCTATCAAATGAGCTTTTTCAGCATCTTCAAATTGCTAGTAAAATATTTATCCTAAAAGATTATTTGCCATTTCTGAAGGAACAGACAAATAGATAAACAGATAAATAGGAGGGAATGTTGAATAATGTCCAAATTAGGACACAAAGTGAGCAGTGCGAAATACTTACTGTAAGGTTGGCAACAATCACTTTAGGGTCATCTGTTAAGCAAACAAAAAAGAAAGAGAAAGAGAAAAGTATTAATAAAATAAGACATTTGCAGAAGATGTCACAAGGTCAGAATTTATACTTACAGAAGGATTCTTCCTAGAGGTTGGCTGATATTTACTAAAAGAATGCATCAGTTGGGATATGCTGAATAGGAACTAAATTTAACCTCTTATCCTTTACTTAATGATATTTTAGTTGCTCAGGTAGTGTTGCTCACTGTTTTATGATTTGAAATACTCTTAGCTGAACAATTACTCTATTTTCTGGAAATATAGTTTTAAGTCTTATGTTTGCTTTAAATACAAAATCAGCCCTTCTGAAAGATTTTGAGAGCACATTTGAATGCACTAACATGCTTCCTTAAAAACAGTAAGATAAATATGTTGTGTTTTTTGTCTCTTAGTACTTCACTCATTTCTTCAGTCTTAAGAAGAAAAAAAAAAAAAAAGTAACAACAAATTCTTAGTAGGGGAAAATCTTTTGCTTAACTCTTTTTGTTTCACTGCTGAAAGCATGATGTTGCTGAGCATCAAATGAGCTCCACCGAATCCCAAAACGAGCTACAGGCTTATCCATGGCAAAGGAGTGTCTGCAGGTCTTGATGCAGTATCATGGAATAGGACAGCAGAAAAGGAATTCAAAAAATGGGTGATTTGGCAGTTATTGGAGGTAAACTCCAGTTCTAAATTCAAGAAATATTCTTCTTTGTTCTATGTTCAAACAGATGATTTATGTGTGATTGCAGATATCCAACAAGGAAGCTGTGGACAGAGGCCAAAAGAGGAAAACTGCATTGCAGGAAACCCTGAAGTATGACTCAGAGATCAGTCTAGTTGATCTTTTTGAAAGATATTGCTGTTCATGCTCCAAAGAAAACTAACTTTGCTCAGCAATTTGGGAACTCAAAGATTGAAAGATCATAAAAAAAATATTCTCAGAGGAACTAAAATATGAATTTTTAGTAGACTGAAGGGTAGAAATTCAGTCTTATGCTATCCTAGTACATTGCAAAATGTACAGACTATTTCCAAAAATTTTTGCACATCCATTCTGTATTCCTGTATTCTGAGCACAAATACCCAGATAAATTAAGTCTCAAATGAAATAAATCAGTATCTAAAAGTTTAACCACATTATTATTATTTCTGCTATCATTCTAGCAATGTTTCATCCTCACAGTCCAAGGTTTTGTAAAATCTGTCCTCAGCCTGCATATATGTGCATTGCTATGATGAATCAATAGGATGTCCCACTTATCTGATCTTCCCCTCTTCCAAAAGTCATCATCCTTGTAGCACAGTTTGCATCACCATCGATACTTATGGTTAATTTTAAGTTTCACTGTTTGATTGTTAGCTTAAAATGCTGGCAAAGCAAAGTTTGTCCCAGTACTCAGAACCAGAGCAGTCATGGTGCTGGCTCAAGGCCCATTGTGGCACTGCTTCCCTGGAGGGAAATCAGGGCAACAGATGTACAGTTGGGACAGTATTGTCTTAAATCACAGAGTCAAGTTTCACCAGAGGACTCCTGATTGGTTCTTGAGCATGTTGTAGACCAGATAACCTTGAACATCAAGTCAGGGTGAGTTTCTCACAAAGTTTAATTATTACTACAGTGCCTGAATGCATGCTCTACAGTTCCCCAGTCTGTTGCTATTTAGCAACCTGCTCTGTTCCTCATTTATGCTAAAAGCATGAAGCTGAGCTCAAAATTAGTAATTCACTTTCTCTGTTAGCTCAAAAAAGGAATCAGACTCTTTCCTTATATACAAACCACGCACTACTGAGCTCCCTCAAGTCCCATTTTCACCGGGAGAGAGAAGAAGGACATAAATAAACTTACAATCACATGTATGCTGCTGTCTGAAACTGCCTTCAAGACTGTTCTTACCAAAATAGATGATTTTTAACCCAGAATGTTTCAGTTACCCACTTGACACATCTCTGACACTATAGGGTCTGTGAACTAGAGACTGGAAATACAGCTGATCTTTAGTGAGCTCCACTCTGAATGTCCCACCAACATTCTGCAGACATACACCCTTTGGAATACTTCATCCCAAGGAAAGGATGGAGTCTAGTTCTCAGAACATAAAAAATACAGTTAACTTACATTTTAGGTTATTGCTAGACCTAGGGCGAATTCTCCCTAAAGATCCAGGCAGCAGTATGATATCTTCCACATTGGTCAGATAGTTGCTCAAAAATTCAGTTCTTTCACAAGTAGTGTCTTCCATCCCTGCAGAAAGAAAATACAAGTTTAAACCAGTTTGAGAATAAACACATTTTCCAAAACAGCACAGGAACAATAAAAAAAAACAAAAACAACCAAACAGGTTATGTACTCTTTTCCTTTGGGTGACAAATCTTATTCTTGTTTTTTCCAGTCATCTAGTTGCAACGACAGACACTGATAGAAACCAAATCAAGAGTACTTTTAGTACTTGCCTGCACAAGAGAAATACCAGTCTTAGCACCGAACACTGGAGCAACAGGCACCACATCCACCATGTGTGCACTGACATGTCTTCAGACTGAGCTCATGGAAAAATCAAAGTCTGTTTTTAGTTTAGTGTACTACTTCGGGGCTGTTGAATTTTTTTAAACAAAGGATTTTAAGAGAAGTCATACACAAAAGGTATTGTCTGTTGGTGGTCTGTTCTAAGTCAGCCACAGATAAACAGTTCTCTCCTACAGCCACTTGTGGTAGGGAGGAATGTGTTGCCAGTCACAGTCAGTACAGCACAACACTACCTCCCCTGGAAATTCTTCCTGCTCCTTAACCTTCTCTCCCCAAGGCCAGAAAGAAGGCATATTCCATTTTATTGCTCATTTAGCTATTCTTGTGTGACGTTCCTAGACAAAGACTTACACAGACCAGAATTCCTTACAAATGCATGATTAATTTGTGACTTTCAGTAGGAGTGCTAAAATGGTATGAAAAAGCAGGTTTCTCTCAAACATGATCACATTTATCACTTAATAAAATTTTCTTTTGACTTTGCGATTTATTCTCATTGCAAAGTTTCTTCTGACTTAAGAAAACAAAACAAAACAAAAAACCCTACCAATTATATATTTGCTCTCTGGTGACTCTTCATCTGATCTGAAAATAACTTTTGACTGTTTTTCTATCTTCTTCCACTACTTTGATGACATTTTCTATTGAAGTTGGACACAGCTCCTTACAGATACTAGTCTTTCTCCTAGTAGAAAAACTTGTCTCATTAATTGCCAAGAAATGTCTTGCTCCACTCCTCTCCGCACATGCTATTAAAATGCTTTCTACTACAAAAACTTACAAAAAGATTATTTTAGGCCCATTATGGTGTTCCAGTACATGCAAGGAGAGCTGTGCTTGGATGTCATATTGGAAATGCCAAGTTTTGAGAAACTCTAAATGGAGAATACCCAGATCTCTGATGTGAAAGAGAAGTGTTCTCCAATGACGATTAACGGGAAAATAGAGTTACCAGTTTACACTGACTGGCAGTGGTTTAGTATTTAAACTACTGGGGGAAAAAAACAGCACAAAAGTAACTTGAACTGAACTTTCATTTAAGCTACCTATTATATGTACAGCTACATTGTGCAAGGTTGCATATATTGATGAAGAATTTGTTTATTTTACCATGATCACCAACAAATATGACGTTGACACATCGATGTAGTTTCAGCTGTTTCAGTCCATCCATCAGTTGTCCTACTGTCTTGTCAATCTCTCTCAGGGGATTTACCATCATCTGTACAAATACGTAGAAAGGAGAGAAAAAAGTTAACTGTAATTGTAATGTTCCTCCTTCTACTACAAGTGAAGGTCCTTTGGCAGAACTCTGATGTGATAACATCCAGGTCAAGAGGCAAAACCTTGGCTGAGCTGTTACACCTACAATTACTGTACTATTTCCATTTTCATCATAGAATGGCTTGGGTTGGAAGGGACCTCAGAGATCATCAAGATCCAACCCCTTTGTCACAGGCAGTGTTGCCAACCACTACTAGATCAAGCACTAAACATCTACTGCAACATGAGAAAGCCTTGTTGAGATGCTGTCACAGGACAGCAGAAGATCTTTATGGATGATCCTGGGCCTCCCAATGGCATACATGCCTTTGTAAAGCGATGTAAAAATGTTAGAAAAATGCATGTGAATTTCAGTTTGTTTCTTATAAACAGCTCTTTGTAAGTGGCTATTTTATATGAATGGTTTAGTCAAAACATGAAATGAAGCTCTGGATTTAAGACTCATTCAAATTAGTTAGTGAATTTCACTTCAAATTACATTTGATACTAGGATGACAACATGCAAGTCACTTGAGTAGCACATGGGGCTTGGAGGGAGCATTCTTCATCTTCAAAGCCAACAGTTTCCAAAATCTCAAGTGATAGTTTTGCCAAAAGTGTCAGCATGTCCCAGAAGACAGATATGGTATTGTGATTTCTTAATTCAAGCTTCTTTAAGAAAGAAAACAGAAAACACCAAAAAATTCTAACAGCATTGTGATTTTAGCTATAAGAAAATGAAACAATTTTACTGGGTAGAACGGAAAAGGAAAATGTTTTAAAGATTTTAAGCAGAAGATTTGGATTTTGCTCTGGTTTTGGTAAGAAAGCGTATCTTGTCACTGTACCCAGACAGTTTGATTTGGCTGGTACAAATACACAAAACAAAATATTCTTCCAATGAAAAATAGAAAGCTGACAAATTTTGGATGAGAAAACGCAAAATTTTGGCAGAATTTTCTGAGAAGAAACATCACTTTAGTATGACCCAGAAAGCAGTAATTCAGAATTTCTCCCTCTGCCTGAATTAAGGGATGGATGTTAAACAAGTCTGATAGTGTGCAGAAGATAAGATGGGAAATGTCATCTCCCAGTTGGCACTGTAAGTAGATGAAGAAGTGACCTGTGGGAGAGGAAAACAGGAGGATAGAGGAGGAATAGTTTTGAACTATGTAAGATGTCCAAGTAACAGGTGATATTTTGAAATATTTGAAATCAGGAAAGACTAAGTAGTTGGTTTTGTTAAAACCATGGGACAGTTCAAATTAAAATGGAAAAAAATAAAAGGAAAAAACAACAACAAAAAAATGCCTCTTGCAGCGGCACTTTCAACTATCAACTCTTCAATGACTGAGAGCACGCTTTTTATGAAATTCTATTTGCACAACATCTATCATATAAGAAAATACAATTTTTGAATCCAAACGCTGAATCCAAAGCTAATTTAGGGAAACTGGAAAGCCAGGTGGATCTCAGCAGGCTTCCAGAGATTTCAAGAATTCATGCTTAATGGCAATACTGTTTAACTTCCCACATTCCCAGTTTCATCTACAAGTCTTCAGTGCCATTTCTGAAAATGTATAAATGTCAATATAAATGAAAATGTCTATTTTTAAAAGAAACAAGACACACATGAAAAAAAAATAAAAGAAATCCACAACTCAACTTTCTGTTTTTACTATTTTAACTGTGTTCAGAGTAACCCAGAAAAGAGTCCTTGGTAGTATGACTTCACTTCACTGCATTCTCTCTATTTTTTAAGTTCAGTTAGCTTTTATTAGTCTACTACACTCAGGCTGTTCCTCAACTAGCCTCTGCAACGCAAGGCTGTAGGTGGCATTTTCAGGCTACTTTTTTTGTGCTGAAGCAAAGCTCGTGTTTTTCCCCAGGTGCAACTTCCAAAGAATTATTGGTGATCAAGTAAGTCTTGCATATATCTTTCTTCACCCAGTATGTTGATATCAGGGCTTTGCAAAGATGTATGAAAGCATATAATCTTTCAAGATATACAGATATCCAAGTACTAAAGAGTTGGTATTATTGCGAAAACACTGAGTATGAGATCTGAATCATACAGATTACAATTGGATTCTCTCCTGAGTTTTCCTTTAGAAGAAGCCTTGTTAGGAGGAAGAAGAAATGCCACTGTTCATTTTAAATGGTAGAATCCGATCTGTACTGTATTCCACCCTTACCAATCAGCACCAGAAGATGAATTTGCAGATAGGATGAGAAACATCATGTAACAACCTTTGTTTTGTTTTGTTTCTCAAAATAATAGTGATAAACTCACAGTAAGGATAAGAAGAAGGATAAGAAGCTTGTATGACCTTTTCAATCACAGAAAGAGAAACAAGGAAAAAGGAGAGCTACATGTGCTCACATCAGTAGGAATACTGCAAGTTTGTGTGAGACGGCTAAAACTTGGGAAGGTAAATTAATGAGTAATAGCAGTATCATCGCAGCAGTTCTAAGTTCTCCTCTCAAGTAGATCTGTATTAACTGTTCTTGAAGCTTTGTGTGTCCCTGTCTGCTCCTTCACACTTCCCAAATCTGTCTCAAAACAATTATTTTAAGTTCAATCATGAAACAAGTTAAAAAATACATCCACAAAAATGCTATTGAGAAGAAGACTATAGCTTTTTTAGGAAACAAGGGAGCACGCCAAGGTTCTTGTTTGATGCCTAAAGTAGAAATATTTTTGGTTTATATAATATTTTGTTTATGTTTCTGTATTGTTTACTTAAAATTCTGAAATGAAAGAAATACTGAAGTGGCCTCCCACCCCTGACATGTTTACTTACTGCCAGGTGGAGAAAGACAATATAATAGGGAACACGCTTTCTTGTTCTCTTGCATCCTTTCCTAATAAAACAATTCCCATCTGACATTTGCCCAATGAAAACAGACCTTGGCACCATTTTCATTGCAAATACACTGCATTCGGAAACCACGTTATCAAGACTCGTTTGCACTCCAAAGTCCCTAACTAGTTTTTAAGTAATTGTTTCTGAAACAACTTTTACAAGTTCTTTCCCTTTTAGATTTTATAAGTCATGTTTTCAAGACATCTCCAGAACTTGGGCAACTAGACATAGAATCTCAAATAATCACCAGGCTCCAAAGAGCTGGGGAGTTAATGAGGCCTGGCAGCACTAGTTCTGCCTTCCCATGTATTTATCTGACATTGCCTCCAGCTGATGGTTGGAATCATAAGAGGATTTAAGATGACTTTCCCTAAAGCAAACGGTCTGAAACAAGCGAAACATAGCTCCCAGAAGACTTGGTCTGCTTTGGCTGCTTTCCTTTGTGTCCTTCAGTACACTTACAGAAGTAAGTTTGCAAAATCCCAACCTGAAGCACGGACTGATTCTCAAGTTGAGAAAGGTAAAGCTAGAGAAGTGCCTAAAAAGTGGCACTTCCGTCATAGAATTTTGGAATATGCATAAACTTACTTTCTTCCGACGAGCTTCCGCAGCATATTGATCCACTCTACGTACTTTTCTTCTTCTTTGCTTTGGAGCTGCAACTGGTCTTTCCTGTCTCCTCTTAGGAGGAAGCTTTCTCTTAGGTCTCTTAGGCGGAGTAAGAGGGGAGCCATAACTACTCTCCTGTACTGGCGGGGAGAGATGTCTGGACTCAGAAAAAAAGCCTGTCTCCACTCACATCAGAGAGCAAAGCCACCTATGCCAGCTAGTCCTTATGCATAAATGGAGGCCTTTTCAAAAATTCAGGCCTTTGGACAATTTAGCATCTGTCTCTCTTTAAAGAGGAATACACCAAATTGTACTGAAAGCAGAACAGCAGTTACAAGAGCAGACAGGATAAAAGCAAATGAAATTGGTGTTTCAGAAAATAGATGGGGCTTCTGGTTTTGAATGAGTATTGTTTTTCAAAACTGATCAAGTGTCAATTCATTAGTATTATCAAAAGTAAACTTAATTTCAATTTTAGTAAAAATCTCTGCATAAAATGTCATGATTGTCTGGGGCAGAAGGCAGGTGGACGTGCATCTCACTTGGGGGGTGGTTCAGGAATGAGTACTAGCACCTGTCCAGACCAAATGGCTTTCTGCATGATTTTCCATACACATTTTTGTTCAAATAGGTGACAGTAGATATTCTTATCAGTAGCATTAGCATTGTGTGCCAGGCCATAAACCCCACTGAAATCACCAGAGTCCCATTAATCCATACTGGGGACTGCAGTTCCACAGAACAAAGCCATAAAGGTGAGGCTCAGTTAGCTTGGAGCTTGCATCCTTCAAATCAGCTAGGTAGGGCATATTTATTAGTGGCAGAGCCTTTGAAAGCAGCACCTGCCTTGTTAGCAGCTTTAAGGGCAACTTGAAAATTTAATTTTCTTAATACATTTGGTATGATATCTCATGTGGGTAATTGTTCATAAATGCACGAATATCTGGATATATAAACAGAAGGGGAAAAACCTTGTAAGACATAACTGGAAAAAAATACCATCCCATTAATCAACTCACTTGTAATTTAGAACTTTACCACTCTCACTGACTTTACGTGAGTCACAGGCTCTCGGCACTGCTCAGGGTTGCATACAAAGCAGTGACAGATGATGCCTCCAAGGAGATATTTACTAAGATACGCTGCACACAACGGAGCACGCTGAGTGGGCTTGACAAGAGTTGGTTTATGATGATAGTTTACTTCTATGTGTTTAGTCAGCTTCTCACAGTTGTTCAGTAACAGAGCAATGTAAATAGGGAAGGGAAGGAGGGGAATGTTACCATCTGCCATGCTGTTTCATTGCTTCCAAGGCAAGCAGCTGGAAAGGAGATTCTAGTCCAGTCTCATTCGTCTCTCTCCAGAAAGGCATTTTAATAAAGCAGCACCAGAGTTTTCTGTTTTTAAAACGCTTCAAGCTTTGTGCAGTCCTGATGAAAGGAGCAGCAAGGAAAGGAAGGATTCTCATTTTACTCTCTCTGAAGGCGCTCAGACAGAGCTTCAGTATGCCAGAAACGCGAGCGTAGGAGACCCAGGTCTGAACACTGACAATGGCTGTCTCAAGACAGCGTGTTAGAGGAGCAGCAGGAACAGTGTAGCAATGCCAGATTTCGATGTGTTTTAGAGCTCTTTCAGTAGTATATACATCTAGAAGTTTTATTTTCAAAAATAAAAGTTAGCTAAGATTAAAAAAAAAAAAAAAAAAAAAAAAAAGCCAAGTTCTTATTAACCAGCCACATCTTAGTTTTGCTTGAAAAGAGTCAGAACAGAGTTATGGAGGAGGGAAACAAATCCCTCCCTGCTTACAGAAGGGAACTGTAACATCACAAGAGTAACTAGCCAGCCAAAGCTCTGCTTCTTGACCCAGATGGACCAACATACCAGAGTTCAACTGCAGAAGCACAGAGGGAAAGAAAAAAAAATGCAGAAGTAAATGAAGAGCAAGCACATATTTGATAACTTGCATAACTGCCTCTGGAAATGCAGCAGAATCCATTAATATGCTTCCTGAGAAGTTCCTTCATGTCCCTCCAAACAGACAAAAAAAACCCTACATAGGCAATCAATTTCATTTGCACTGAAATTCATAATGTTAGAGAACATGCAAAGTTAGGGTAGTGGATGTTGACCATAATATGTATTCCATTTATATCAACAGCGCTGACAGTTCACCCAATAAAGCTTAAATGCTTTTAATTCCCTTTAATCCCAGCTTTTAACTCTGTCCATAGACTGTTGTGTATGTCCTCTGAAGCTCTAAGTGCTATCAGCTGAAGTCTGGAAGTCGAAGATTATTGGCCATGGATGCCATTTGACCTTTAAGATTATACATTTGAAAAACATTCACAATATTATTTGGCATAAGAAGCTCTAGTAAACACCCACTTTTCTAATGGACTTTTGTAGGATCTGGAAGATTCTGAGGTATGAAACAATTTCTCAAGCGACCATATGCAGCAACAAAAGCTCATCATGAAATCCTGACTCTTCAAAAAAGAAATAAAAAGCCTATCTTAAATATAGCAGATAGTTGTTACAGGGTTTATTCAAATGTAAGTGTTGGACTGATCTGCCTTTGTATGAAGAAAAATGAAGTGGTCAGAATTACTCCAACTGTCCAGGCACAGCCAGCTGTATACAAGAAAAGAACAACTGCACAGGGAGGTCATGCTCTCGGTATCTAGGAAGCAACTGGACAGGGTCCCTTTGAGGACTCCTTCCCAGCTGTTTTATGTAAATTTTGTAGCTCCTAAAAATAATATTGAGAACAAAGTGTCAAGAGAAACAATATAAAGTAAATCCCAGCTTCTCTATCCTGAAATGAGGCCCCTCACAAATCTCAGCATCTGTATACTTACACAGCTGTATTCATTTACTTAAATTTCCATTCAGAAAGTTGTGGCCACTGTTTGAACTCCAAGCCCATACATGCTCATCTGCTAAATTGTCTGTTCTCAATTGGCTAGAAATCAATTTCAAGCACTTCTTGTGTTTAATACAAATGGCATAAGTAAATTCATTTGTAAAAATTTCACAAACTATTAATTCATGCTTATTAAGAACTTGAATTAGAGGTCAGCCTTCAGATAAATGTCCAGAAGAACCCTCAAGCAACAAAAGCCGTTAGGGACTTTTGCTTTTATAGGGATTTTTCCTGTGATGATACAGTTACACTTCACTTTTCAGAAACTTCTGATCAATCTGAAACTACATTACTCAGCATAAAGTGCTAAATTGGTTTGTTAAAGGCTGGAATGTAAAAATCAAATTCACTGTCATCTTCTTTATATTGTCCTTTAAGTCCATGGAAAGAGCCTCACAACTCTGCTCAGACGGAAGCGGTTGTCTACAGATAAATAAAATTACAGTTGTCAGTCATAAGCCGCACACTTGTAATATTTCAAAAAGAGGAACTATGAAGCATCATTAAGTGGTGTATCCTTGAGCTGCATCTGAATCAGACAGCTCTCATAATGCATCTCTTGCTTGGCCGAGTCAGATACCTCTCCTGTTTGGAGTCAGATGACAACATGAAAACATATCAATGCCTATCAATTTAGCAGGAGTGTTGGCAGATATTAACTGCAGGATATCCATAACATGGACTTTATCTTCCCATCCACTACAGTGTTTTCAACTCCTCTCTGATGCTGCTCTTGAGACCATGGCTAAAACTACTCCAGCAGGGATGCTACCCACAGCAAATCCGTTATCACTGTAAATTTGTTTAAACAGCCCCAAATAATTCAAGTACATTTAAAAAGATTAATGCTACTTCTCTTGCTCACTTCTCCAGTAGAGGAAGCTACCAGATGTGTAGCAAACAAGTAAGAAACATCTGCTTGGTAACTGGCTGCTCAGGGAGACTGGTATTACCTTCCAAAGCGTAAATATACTCCTCAGTTTTCAAAGATTTGAAAACATTTGTTTACCCTTTAAAAAGCACATATGAAAACTCCTGAAGTCTTGTGGCTGCAACCTACAGGCATATGTTTCCACTGAGACTAGAGGAGCTTCGCCAGATGCTCAGCCCCCAGCCACCCCAAGCAGTAAAACACTTGGGCACAGAACTTACTTTCCCTCCCCACAAATCCCAGACAACCACACAGTCTTTAAGTTCTTGTAACCTGCACCATGCTGGCAGAGAAGCTGTACTCATTGGCAATCCGAACCCCAAACAAGGGGTTAAACTACTGCAGTGTTTTGCACATAATTCTTCTTTAAAATACCTTACAATGCTTCAAAATCTTTTCCAAACTCAACAGACCAGCCCTGAGGGAGCAGTATTGGCAAAACTAACTGAAATCCTCTAGGGTCTATATGAAACTGGAAATAGCTGCTTTTTACAGCTCATGACAGACTAGAATTATTACTTTGGCTACTGCAGGCTGTTAGCATTAAATAAGCCTTTCTCTTCACTGCATTTTTCCTCAGTATTTTGTGCATTATAGTTTTATTACGTTTAAGAAGGATAAACTGTTTGAGTAACATTAAATTCTGTTGTCGCACCCAATTACAATCTCATTTTTGCCAAAGAGAGATTTCCATTTGCATTTTCATATCACAAAGAGAAACAATCTATGAAAGGCGTGGGCCGTTCCTTCTCAGAACTGAATCACAAGATAAATCCTTAAACAATAATTTTGCTTTCTCCGGCAGAGGTTCTGCATACTACAGAAACGGGTGAAAAAATTTGCTAAAAATATTACTTCTGAGCATCAGCAGTTATTCTAAAAATGTATTCTAGATGTGTGCTTTTTCTACGGATGAAAATCTCTACTGACCTCTGAGTTGAAAGGTCCATATCTGTGGCCAGCAGCATCTGGTTGCTCGGAGTAGAAAGCGTAAACATAAGGCCTGAAAGAAAGAAAGGCCTTGTTCAGGACAGCTTTCCTTCAACAACAAAAAGCCCCAAACCTGCCAGCTCAAGCCAAATAAAACCAACCTTGCAATGAGAGTTGGCTTTAAAGAGAACTGTTTCTCAGTCATATGTTTCCATGATATGATGATTAAGTAATTAATTGTTCTACAACTTTATTAAATCCCAGAACACATCCCGAGAAGCACCCCGGGTACCATCTGAGGACACGTGCCTTCTTAGCCCTGTAAGTGGGATCACAACAGTAGCCCTCTGGAGCTTTGCAGCCAGCAGAGTGTGCAAACTTGTATACGGAAAAAACAGTCATCATTTAAATGTTAAAATTTTCCCAGTCCTCAGAGTCCAGTTCTGCCACTGCCTACAAGCTTGTTAAGCCGTATTAGACTCAGTAGGCTAAGAACTATCCATGTTAATCTATGTAATTAAATGCTTCTAGATGGGAAAGAAATTGATACCATACTTTTATTGAGAATCAAAATGAAGATGGTTAAAAGCTAGGATAAAAAAACAAACAAATCTAACCAATCAAAACAAATCAAACCAAATCCTGAAATCAATGGTAGTTTAACAAAATTAAACTTCCTCTTGCTCTTTTCCAGTTATTTTTGAGAAGAGTATAGGCTAGAAATTAACCAATAACAGGTTGAATTACCTTTCGTTATCCGGAAGGGTCAGCCATTGCAGTATTGTTAGTATTCTGCGCTCATGGGGAATGACACTAGACCGCAAAAACACAAAAAAATGCCTTTTTATCAGAGACTACAAGAAGCATCAAAACAGTCTTGCTATGAACTGATTCTACGGTGACTATCATCAATCATAATAATGTCATTTCCTTCTAGTATATTGCATCTTGTTTCTTGTTTGGTACTGATTCTTATTTTGCAAATTGTCGCATCTGATCTCTTGAATGTCCACATACTCCTAAATAAATTGAATTAAAAGCTCATAAATGGAGTCAGAACTGAAGGCAGGAAACCAAACTATTCTAATTGCAGTGACTGAAGACCCATCCTGGTATCTTTAACCCAGATGAACTGCTTTTATGCACAGTAGTGCTGCCATTGGATAGCTGGCATGAGTGAAAACCATGACATTTCTCACACTGCTACAAATCTAACTGCTAGTCTTAAAGACATTGGAAAAACTCCCACTGACTTAATAGTAACCAAACAGGATTAAGCAGGTGTAAATCAAACCAGAGTCATCTGAAACATCAGGCAATCAGCATGGTGACTCACACAACATTTACAACTTCTCTCTGCAGAATGGATAAATCACGATTCACTGTTATCCTGAGACATCTCACTTGGCTGCTGAGGCCAAATTATTGCTATGGGAATTACCAAACACGTAAACAGCTATTACATTTCAAAATATCTCATCTTAAGAAAGCTCTGCAGATCAGTGACCATACAAGTGTTTTAATACAACAGCATCAGTGGTTTCAAATTCCCTTAGATCAATTGCAGAATCCCAATAAGAGTCAAGTACAACCATCTTGGATTCACCTTAGTGAATTAAATTCAGCATTTTTTGCAAGTGTATTTGATGGAGAAATGCAGATATCATTTTGAAACAAATCACTTAATGGCTTGTACAACAACACTGGTTGCCATTTTCCATCCACACAGGAAACTTCCACTTGTAGAATTATAAGATGAGAAATAATGCTAAAATTTGCAGACAAAGAAATATAATAAGACAGAATAATGTTAGGTGTTGCCGTTTTGAAACTTACTAGTTGCCCAATTTGAAAAATCTTCATTATTTAAAAAATAAATCACTTGAGACTTAGAAGTGTTTAAATACTACTGTTTCCTTAAAAGAGTTTATCTGAGTTTTTTTCACCAAAAATATTCCATACTCCAAATTAAATAGTACAGTTTTAGGGAGGATGTATTTCATTCATATGTAAAGTGGCTGAATCCCTTTCTTGCTACAGGCATATATATCTACAATACAGCCTTTGTTATTTTTCCTAATGTTTTATATATCCCCAGATATGGATCAGCCAAGGTGCTTCTGGTTCCCATGTAGTTGTAGTGCTTTGGTATTGCATAAATTCCTATGCTTTGTAGAGAAGCAGATCAAAGCTCTGCCTGGTAAATGACTTGCAAACCTAAACCTCTCACCAGCTATATACACTGTACATTTATTATTTCTTCCATATGTTTATGATATTCAGAGCACCAAAGAATACTATTCAAAATGGAACCAAAAAATAGGCAAATCCCATCAGTACTTTTGATCTTGATAGCATGACCATTTTCTTCATTCCTGCAATCTTGCCACTTAAAGGAAATGGAGACATTGATACATCTGAATTCCTCGGAACTCAGAAGTTATTAAAAGTCATTCATTTTTAGTTAGAAAAATGTCTTAGTTGGGACAAGGGAAAATAATTCAGAACCATTAAAGAACAGAAAAAAGAGCAAAGGTCCTCAATGCTATCTCTTAATAAATGGGAACCAGATTATTATTATTCAAAGGCCAGGCTGGATCGTAAAAGGAGAGAGTGAATTAGGCTGTTGATGTCACGTGAAGTGAGGAAAATAAAAGTCTTGCACAAACACTCAGAAGTCTAGAAGACTTCGCCAGCAATACTGAGGAGGCAAAACAACACAGTCAAATAAAGGAAAGTAATTTTTGATACAGTCACCCTACTTTTGTTCGAACAGCGGCTAAATATCAGTGTATAAACCTGTGTCAAACTGCAGAGTTAGCTTTAGTTATGAGAAACATTTGAGAAATGAAATGAGAGGCTTACAGGTACAGTCTCCAACTGAGCAGCTACCAAACGTTTACAGCAAGGAAAACAATTAATAAATATTTGCACTGAATTAATTCAGACTTATTAGTTACAAATCTCCAGAAAACAGAGACACTTACACAGACCAGAAGAATGTGCCAGCTTTCACCCCTTGCTTGGCTGCAGTAATCCAAATCTAATGAGGAAAATATAAGAGGATTAGAATGTGTTCAGATCCTTAATGACCCTCTGAAATCAAAAGAAAATGTTTTCAAGGCACATTCTTCTACCCTGAGCTTAGAAATAAAAATTGCAGGCTTCAGCTTCCATCCCTAATTTGAACATGTGGAGTGACAAACCTACACAGATTCTGTAGCAATGCATCAGCTGATGTTTTGTAGTTTCACCCCTAAATATCTTTGTTACTTCTAACAGAAAGCATTACAATACATGGACCGAAACTTCACAAGTATCTCACCCCATTTAATTTCCAAAAATCAGACATACCTCACCTGAGCTCTTTAATGTTCAAGATTTGAAGGACACTCAGGTAGGAAAGAACACAGCTCAATGCTCAGCAGGGTCTACATAAAAAACCCTCTTTGCTGATTCTATCATCAGTAGCCATCAGCAAATAATGAGCTGATAAAGAGTACCAAAAAATAAAAGGGAGCAGAGGTATAAAGAAAGTATGAAGGAACACCTTTCTCCATAGAAGTTGAAGAACTTTTTGAGCTCACCCAAAGTGGTGATGGATGGAAATGACAGGAACAATCTCCCAGAGTTTTTCAAATTCATTTTTTAAACTCATCTATTTTCTGGCTATAAAATAGTTTGGAGCAGCACGTTCTACAGTACAGACACACAATGTATGAGTGTAGTTTTGTCTGGTTTGAGACTGGCAATGTCACAATGTCACATACCTTAATATTGTTCCCATACTGGGAAAACACGTTATTAATTCTTTCTCTTCTCACTTCTACAAAACATTGCAACTATATTCACTCCTGTTTATTACTTTTCAAGTTAGTTTGATCTTTCTTCAGTGAAAACCACATCTTACTCTAGTTATCCTCATTGCCTCTTTCTCTTTTATTTTTATTCTAAGAATACCTATAGAAGGCAGGGGAATCAGAATGACCAAAAATCAAAAAGGTCCATAATCAGTTTGTAGCCTGGTGGGACTGAATTTCTTTGCAAGGATCTAGCAAATCATTTTGAAACTTATTTCAAAAGTGGTAATGACTTAAATGCTAATATTATGCATAAAACTAGAAAATTGCTTTCCTGTGTCATTATTTATGCATTCTACAGTTTAGTCATTTCATGACCATTTAAGCCAAAACACAGATCCCTTCCTTAATGATTGAAAAATCTTTGACTTACTTTAAATCAGCTCTTCAAAATACATTCAAGGCCACTCTACCTTGCTCTAACGGGCACTTATAAACTGTCATCTAGGCATGCATTATTCAAATGTCATGCATGAATTATTCATACATTAGCCTTAACTGAATTTAATTTGTCACAGTCTAACGAAAGATCATTTCCACACTGAGGCTGTAGTTAATGGAAATTAAATTTGAATATTGTTATGTTGACAATTATGGAAAAATGGATCCTATTTTCCTTTCTAGTGCCACGAACATACCTCCTACCTTATCTTTACATCTTTTACTCCTTCAAATCTGACAGAACTCAATCCAGTTCTTTTAAAATCACAGCTATAATAAAAGCAGTTGTTTTTATTACATCCTAACGTTCTGGTAATGTATCCTCTCTTTTTCAGGGAAGAATATATCCAAGGTAACTATAGAAATGATTGTTTACTAAATGAACGCAACAAGAACAGAAGCAGAAAGTCCATGAATTTGATTTTACATGGGAATCTGGACACTACTGAACAACAGAGAGACTGTTTTGGAATGCTCATGGACAAACACTGACTGGACAGAAAGATGCGGGTGAAAGTGAGGAGAGGCAAGGAAAGGTGCCTTCAAGCTGGAGGCTGTATGCCATAGTCAGAGGTGTGCCTGTAATGCAAAGACATATCCACAAGCCCGTTTGTGTCATCTATGTCAGCAAAGGGTATATAACTCCAACCCAGACCCTGTGTCAAACTAAGACAGGAGCTACTCCATACTCATTAGTGGTTCTCGGCCTTCCCACATGAAAAAGAGTCAACATTTGAAGCAAATACATTTTCCATTGCACTTTAGATTTATTCCCAGAGCAGAATCCTACCGCAGCAGAGAAGAGAGGTCAGATATAAATTTAGCATAACAAGTGTCAGCTCCACTGCTGTTATGCTCCTTGGTCTTGCTATACTTGGAAAACCATTGTCCCTCCAGAGCTGCAGCAGATTTATTTTTCTTTGAAAGTGTTTGTGTTCCTGCAAACTTGAAATAATTTTGCAGTTAACTTTGGGATGGTACCAATAAACTAAGTCCAGGGAATTCAGTTTTAGAATTTTACCATCTGTTTGACTTTCTAGTGCTTTGGACTGCACACATACAGGTGGTCCAGTCTGCATCTTGTCAACTAAATGAAACAAGCCAAGTTCCACCCACAGCAGCTGAGTATGTCCTGTGCTTCTCCTGACTGTTAGCATTGCTGAAATCACTTGTAGATGTCTATTTCAGGCTTCTCCTCTATCATACTGTAGGGTCTGACAATCTCTCCCAGGTGATCTTAGCAGGGATCACCCCTAGTTGTACTGTCTTCTGTCAGCAGTAAGAGAACAGCATGTCCCTTGAAAGGGCACCTGGATTGGCTTCAGATAGGGAAAAAAAAAGCACTCCCTCTGCTCCCAATGCAGCAATTTACATTGGCATTAACGATTTGAATGAGAAAATGCATCTGCTGCACTTGAAACGGATAAGACAGCGATCTGTTAAAGTAAGACCAACAAGTCAAATGGTCCATATCTATCTGCAACGTATGTGAAGTAAGTTTGAAACTACTCCCTTAGGATTTTTCCAGGCAGAGACTGGTTGAACCCAAGGTTAAAAGAAAAACTACTGGACATTCATCCCTCTTTCTTTGAACAGGATATTAAAAAAACAAAACAACCTTTGGTTTGTTTAAAAGCAAAATAATAAAGCCCAATGTGATTCAACATCATACCTAAAGCCACTACACATAACAAAGCGTTTGCAGAGACATCATTTAAAATGAGAACTTTAGTAGGCATGGCAGGGTTGGGTTGATTGGACTAGATGATCACAGAGGTTTTTTCCAACTTTGATGATTCTGTGACCTTACAGTACTCACTGAAGCAGCAGCAGTCTCCCAGGTGAAAGAGTTTTCATTTACAAACTTGAACATCAAACTTCTAATATGTTTTGGAGCTGTGACAGAATATAGTGATGGCAGTCTCTATTTCTCTACCAGATGTGCCCCTGGTAGCCATAACCCTTTACTGATTAGCTAAAATCAGGTAACAGACTGGCAGCTGGAACAGATGATGGGCATGCACAAATTTACTTCCTACTCTTGGCTATAGGATTTTAACTCCAGCACAAAATCAAGGTAAGCTGCTACTACAGCCTCATCTCTCAGTGTCACTAACTTAAATTCACTGACTTTCAAGACAGAGTGCAAGTCATTCATGCCTCTTCCAAGTTAATATGAGTCCGTGCAATCAGTGTACAATACAAAAGAAAAAATTAGGTGATGTGCTCTCAACGCTGTCCATGTGAAACAGTCAAAATCAGGAATTGAATAAAAATTGTTTCATCTCCTCTCTGTTGGTTAGAGTCACAGTCCTTAAGTTATTTAATCCTAGATATTCCAGTACTGAGCATGTAAATGCAATGTTATATACACATCTGTCACATCTGTTCAGGTCATTTATCATAAAGTATACTGCCCATTGCAAGGTCAGTTCCATTTGTGAACTTATGTAATTTATTTGCCATACATAAATACATCGGCTTTAAGTGCAAATGTTAGTTAAACAGATACCTATAAAATTCTACGTCAGATGAGCACTCTGGTTTTCAGACGGGACACAATTTTATAGTATTGTAAGTTATGAAAAGACCATATTTCTGATTTAATTGCTTAAGCAAATAAGAGAGGAATACATATTTAAAATTAATATATATATATCAAAGGTTAACTAGTCTGTGTTCATACTGTGGCATATTGGGAATTGGAGGATATCTAAATTTTCCATCATAAAAAGATTTGGTAAATTACAGAACCACTGTTTCAACTCAAGTACACTGGCAAACATCCCAAGACATGATAAACGTGGTTAACTAGATGCTTACAAGACATCTACTGTAAGCTAGGTAGATCCTCTTTGTTGACAGACTACAATTATTCTTTCTTTTTCTCTTTTATTTACTGATAAAAAATAGAGAGGCTAAGCAACTTCAGGTGGAAGTGCACTATGTAACACACAAGTCCCAAGTTCTCCCTTCTTACAGCTGCTAGGCATGTGTTTGCACAGATACTAAACAAAGTTCTTCAAATGGCTGTTGAATTGTCTTTGAAAACCTGCACGGACGGCGCAGCATCTCCCTACATTTAACCTTCTGTGAATAAATGAATGTCCATACATTTTCAAGGTCTGCCTGTGTCCTGTTGCATCATTCAAGAACAGCAGTGGCACACCTCAGGTCAGGGCCAACAGGAGGGGCAGGCCTCATTGAGAGCTGAGCAAACACAGCTGCCAGCCAGGGAAGGAAATCCATGTCAGGAATGGAGGTAGCACAGACACCCACTGCAACTGGGAGGAGGCCATGCAAGAATGGGAAATCCCTGTGTCTAGGATTGATGATCACTATTTCCCAAACAAACATAAACAAGAGTGATGCATGCAAGTAGAATTAACTTGGCACAGTGATGCTACTTGTTACCTTCCTGCATCAGTTGCACTTTTCCTGCCAGTGAGGTAAAAGTTGGAGTCATGACTCCCACAGGCCTTGCTTTAGCCATATTTCCTCTTTCTTACAATTTTAAAAGTGAAAGTGTCATACAGGGTGCCCTAAAGCACCCTCTATGCTGTTATAATTAAGATATTTCTGAAAAGAGAGGCATTTTTTTGCATCAAACTCACGTACAAGCTGGACAGCCTTCCCAAGGGGCCTCTCTGTCCTCATTAACTACAGCCCTCATAAAACTACAGTATTATACCTATCATCTTCTGATCTTAAGGAGACAAAAGGATTATTTCTAAGATCACTGAGAAAAGCAACATATTGTCTGCAATGTAAGCCAAATCAACATGTGGAAAACTACTGCTAAACAGAAGCCAAAGGCAGCTTGGGTCTTAATTTAGGCAGTTGACTTCAGTGATTGAAGTTTCTTGGATGAAAACAGTCTCAGTCTCATGAAAAATGAGCAGTGAAGTTAGTTTCTCCTTTGAGAACAGGGGCTCTGATGCTCACAATTTCTGTGAGATGCTGTAGCAACACGAGAAGGAGTGGTTATGCAGCTGTTTCCTCTCACACATTTTTTTCTTTCAAAAAACAAGGTGGTTTTAAGCTTATATAATAAATAAAGGTTATATACTAAGTCAGAAAAACAGGTTTCAGGAAGTCTCACCACCAGTTAGAGGATCCCTGAGCACTTCCAAAGCTACCTGCTCCCTCCTTCCCCTTTTCCTATTGCTTTTAAAATAAATTTCTCACAATTCCTTGTGTGAAAACATTAAACTACTCATTTGTCAAATCCCACTGATGCCATGTGTTAGCTTGGCTGCTTCCTAGCAAAATGCTCACTATCAGAACAAGTAATTCAACAACAACAACAAAAAAAACCAACATACATTTTAACAAACTATACACAATAGACTTGTCCAGGAGCAAGGAAGTATTTTAGGAATGATTAACGTTAATGACATTCTCTTCAAGGCAGTTTCTAGTTATAATGTGGAGCTAGGGACCCCAGTAACAACTTCTTCCTTCCTGGGGAAGGTGGGCAGTTTTAGATGATAAAACTGTTCTGTGCTAACCAAGTACCTCTCTGAAGCTGCATACTACACTTTGAGACCAAGACCTAAAAGGGATCGTTGAATAACACTTTGTGATGTACAGGCAAGATTTTCTTTCTTCCTCCCTTAATTTTACTGTCTTCGAAAACCTATCCTTTTTTTGGTGGTTTTTAATCAGTGTGATGTTTAGGTAAAATAATAAAAAATAATTAGAAATTCACTTAGAGATCAAATTCAATTAGAAATGAATTAGAACTATGTATCTAATCCACATAAAGGAGAAAGAACTTTTTCTCCCATCAAAATCTCTGCCCTCTGAGTTTTAGTAGCTCATTTTCACACTTCCTTGATTCTGCAAATAAATACATGCAAACCATGCATTTCCTCCATGTGCAGAGAGGGGGTCATTTATGTTAGCAGATTTCTTGCAGAAATGTTCTCTCTTCTAACCCAGGCAGTGTGGCCACTCACATTTGCCAGACTTACAGGTTCTCCTCATAATAAGTGCGTAGGAACTGAATTACAGCCGTCCCTCTATGCATGTTCCCAATTCTCCAAGGAGATTTCCAGCTTATTATCTGATTCCTGTATTTTTCTTTTAACACTTCCTTGGATCAGCTGTTCTATTTTAACATCCTTATTTGTGTATACAACACTCCCCTTTATCCTCTGAGAATTTTTTTCTAGCGTGTGGTCATCCACAGTTGTGTAACTTCCTTGAACCCTTTTCAGCTGACATTTTTCATGACCCTTGTTTACAATCTGGAATGACTTATATTCTCTGTAATAGCAGAGGTGTTCCTAATGAGTGGGTGTTAGAATTACCCAATATCCCCCACTCAACATGACAGCTGATGCAACATACACAGGCTATTAAAATATTGCAGTTTAAAAATAGAGACATTTGTACGGTCCCTGAAAGTAAGTTTGAGTTATTCCTACATAAACTCGGTTGAGATGCACAATTAAATTTGCAATGTACAATTAAAATTGCTGCTGCCTAACAAGCTACCAAACAGCTGGCCCACACTATTGTCCATGAAATCCATGTTTGCAGCAAGCACGCTGCAGATGCCATTCAGTGTGTGGCTGTTGCTGTAGCTAGGATGAAGGAAGAAGCTACCTGCTGCCTTCCTTTCACTGCTCCTAGTTTTATCCCACTGCTTTGCTCTGATCTAGATGAATAACAGCCTGGCACTGCATCATCTTCTCTACTCTACACAACCTATGCTAAAAACTAACCCAGGTCATAGCTGGGTGAGGGAGCAACTACACCCCTTATTACTGCTGACAAATTTTAAAAGTGCACAAATACCTCATTCTGGCTCAGCTACAGCCAGACATCTGCCTGTCACACATCTGCCTGCAACTCTAAATGGTCTTGTCTCACATTTGTTGTGGACTAAAACTACATGTGGACAAATAACACATGCTTGCTAAGTAACTTCCTTTTGTCTCCTGGGATACTAATGTCTTAGAGATTTGGAGGATGACACCGATCATTTTAGCAAACAGCAATGACAGATTATGGTATTCCCAGTCCCCTTCCAATACACACCTCCATTTCAGAATCATAGAGGCTAGACCTCTGGAGATCATCCAGTTCAACCCCCTGCTAATGCAGGTTCGCTAGATTAAGCTGCAGCAGAAAGCATCCAGGCAGGTTTTGAACATCTCCAGAGTAAGACTTCACAACCTCTCTGGGCAGCTTGCTCCAGTGCTCTATCATCCTCAAAATATACTTTTTTCCTCATGCTTGTATGGGATTTCCTGTATTCCAGTTTATGCCCATTGCCCCTTGTCCCGTCACTAGGCACCACTAAAAAGAGCCTGGCCCAATCCACTTGACACCTACCTTATATACGTTTGTAAGCAATGATAAGATCCCCTCTCTGTCTTTTCTTCAGGCTGAACTGACACTGGTCTCCTAGCTTTCCTCATATGGGAGTGGCCCCTCATCATCTCTGTGGTCTCTCCCTGGAAGTTCCCTCTCTTTGTTAAACCGAGGAGCCCAAAATTGGTCACAGAATTTCTGATGCGGCCTCACCAGGGCAGAGAAGAGAGGGAGGAGAACCTCCCTTGTCCTGCTGGCCACACTCTTCTCAAGATACCCCTGGCCCTCTTGGCTGCAGGAGCACCCTGCTGGCTCACTGTCAACCTGGTGTCCACCAGGACACCCAGGTCCTTCTCCACATAGCTCCTTTCCATCAAGCCTTAACATGTACTGATGTATGAAGAAATCTAGCACTGGTTCCCATTTAGAGGCATTCTTTCTGATTACAGAGTGGCTCCTCAGGGAGTAAGAAGACTTGTACTGCTTCCTGTAAAAAAGGCGTCAATTTCTGGTGTAGAAAATGGCACTATCTGGTTTAACTGCTCAGGAAGTTTTCACATGCTAGTCCCTAAGTAATCAATGTAGTATATGCACCTTGGCTGCTTGCATGTAAAACTTAATAGTTTAATTTAAAACTATCTTTGCTGGCAAATTAAAGCAGGTCACTAAAGCATATGGTAATAGGAGAAAGTTCAGTAGAAGCAAAAGGACCTCCTTTTAATCCTTAGAAAGAGGCCATTTTCATGCCTAAAATAAGGATTCAGACCTGGAGAAAACCAATTGCAATGCTTATTCAAGAGAGAGATCCACTCAGCCATTGCTGCTGTGTTCTAGGCAGAAATTAATTCACAAACTTCTACACCCTCTGCAGCATGTCAGGTAACAGCAATCACTTGTGGACTTATCAAATAATAATTATGAAGTTGTGCCATGCTACTCTGACAGAACATTAATACTAAAACTGCCAGAAGAACATTACTAGGACGAAAACCTGAGAAACCCATAATGAAAAGGAAACACTGTGCCACAGTGACAAAAATACAGTAATTCGTGTTAAACTGCTGCCTAAAATGAGGGTTTTTTCCCAGCCACATCTAATTTATACTTATCAACACAAGCACCTTTCCATAATCAATGGCTTTATTATTCTGAAAAGCAAAAGCCAACTCAAAACGTTACATTGCACTGATAGACACAAGGCCAGCCATGGGGAGATCAGGTACAAATTGTTCACAGATGTATTTTTTTAATTATTATTATTGGCTATGTTCCACAGCACAGGGGGAGGGGAAGGAGGAGGGAGAGAGAAGGAGGGAAACTAAAACTTACTGGTTGACCTCCCCACCATCTGTGATTGAATTTCTCTCGCCCTCGAAGACTGAAGCTGGCATCAAACACTGGGTCATACATTGAATTGCCAACGATTCCATGTGATTCAGGATAGAGTCCCTTTGTGCAGAAGTAGATTAATTAGTAAAACCCTAATGCACATAAATGCAGTCCCCATAGCTATCTGCAAATACCACTGAATTATTTTAAAATGGGTGTCTTTGTAACAGCAGAAAAGGTTTTAACTTCAACATAAGAACATTTAAAATTGGCTGTAGTAGTGAAAACAGCAGGAAATGACTGAATTGTGCTTAAAGGAAAAAAAAAAAAAGCACAAAAACTTCTGCTGCTGGATATTTTGAAGTATTTTCTCACTGGTTAGAAGTTAGTTTGAGGCCATCAAAAATAAGCAAAAAAAAAAAAAAAAAAAAAAAAATTTTTTTTTTAAATTTTTTTTCCTTTTTTTTTACTCTTTTTATAAATTTTTTTATGCCCAAAAAAAAAAAAAAAAAAAAAAAAAAAAAAAAAAAGAAGATTTATTTGAACTTTGAGTTCCTCTTTATGAATTCCCTTTCTGGAAATGGTAATTCATTTTCCAGTAGCAAGAGTTAGAATCTGCATGCTCATTTTATAATAGTTTATATTTACTAGTGCCTCTGTTAGAGCTATTTCTAAGATGAAATGAAAGCAAGACACCCAAACAGTGATATAAACCCAGAGGCTTTATACCTCCACTTCTCCAGAAGTAAACGTGATTTAAGAGGTTTCTGATCTCCCTTTCTCTCCTGCCTTCTCCCATACTCAGCTACTTGTTTGTCCATCCCTTCTTTAATCTTAATATTTGTGCAAAGGAAGAAAAAGGGGGGGGGGAAAAAGTGGCTTCTGCTTCAGGAGCACTGACACATGGCAGCGTTTGCATCTCAGACTTGGGGACAGCCTGGCCACCAGCTGTGCCACCAGGGCACAGAAGTAATGGTTCATTTACTGTAGAACCCAAGCAGCATCCAGACACACTCAGCAGCTGTAAATTTTAAGTGGGTTGCTAAGTCAGCCCTACTGACTTCAGCTCCTCCAATGAAGGAACAACTGCTGGTTGTATTCTGGGCTGTTGTTTTTTTTCCCCCCAGAAAAACCATGACCTGTAATTATACAGCAGTACAAATAACTGCAAAAACAGGCATAGGAAAATGCAGGAAAACAGTAACGTGCGTATTAGAGAGAAATGCTTTATCTCAAAACTTCAAAATACTGAAAAAAACTACTTAACATAAGGGAGAGAAGGATTGACTGTGAAGGAGTTCTATTAAAAAAATATATATATTGCTTCCCACAACCCACATTTCTAGTGAAGTGCAACATTTTATCACCAAAAAATCGTTCCCAAGGACTTACAGTAGCGAGAGTGTACAAGTTGGGGAAGGTTTTTGTAGGGTAGACCGGCCTCATGTAAGGAGAATGCGTTCCACATGATCCTGAAAAATCAGCAGGGAATGCAAACGTTACAAAAGTGAAGCTCTGAGACAAAAAAAAAAAAAAAAAAAAAAAAAAAAAAAAAAAAGTCAACTGCTTTCACTGAAAATGCTGCAGAAAGCGGTTAAACTTTAACCAACTTAAATGATCACCCTCTGATGACCACTGGCAAGACTTCCTGCAGTGCTAAATCCACACATGCTACTTTGCACTTCACAGTAAACAGCTGAAACAGAGAAGCTAGTACTACTAAACTAGCTACATTTCCATGGACTCCCTTCCCAGTTACCCCGCTTTCAGTGTTCATACTCACTGGAAGTGTCTTGCTGTTAAGTAAAGGAACATGAGAAATCACGGACTAATTTTAAATGACAAATACACTGAAGCAGGAGTTTCACAATAGGCTTTGGCCACAGCTCCCCAGTTGGCTACACAAATGCAAGGGACAGTAAATAGACAGTAAAAAAAAACACATTTAAGGATATGAGCACATATCTCAATATCTCACATATCTTAAGCTACCATACTACACTAAAAAGCTCAAACATACAGTGTGTTCAGTACACTGCAAATCCAGGACCCACGTCTTCCACATGTGTGATTCAAGTGCAAAATTTTCCAGGCACACCTCAACTAGGCTATACAATGTTATGATACATATCACATACTGAAGATTCATTTATTTGCTGGCAAACCAAATTAACCCCACCAATTCTGGGTTGCATTCCCTAAAGCAGCTCTCTTCTCATTCTTTGCTGTAAGCTGCTTTAGCCAGGGTCCTTCAAGCCACCAGATGATACCATCTAAACCTAAGGGGACTAATGCAATTTGCTTTTATGGAAAATAAATGTAATCTTTATTAGAGTTTTGAGTCAGAAAAGCCCTGCATTTGGCAGAGCCCTTCTACACGCCAGACCCATGCTGACTTTTGTTACTCAATACACAATGAAAACAACCAGACTGCATGAGACTGTCTTTCGTTTATTGTAAGAAAACAGATGTACTCACTCAGTTTTTCAATATTGGGCATGACCTTGTTCCCTTTCTTCATATATGATGCACGGAAACCATCAACAGAGAAGATGATCAAAGGAGGACGAACAAAGCTAAAAAGCAGAAGCAGCAGGAGTATAAGTCAGCATTTCAAAATGATTTTATGTTTGGTTTTTTTGTTGTTTTTTTTTTGTTTGTTTGTTTTGTTTTTTGTTTTTGTTTTTTTTTTTTTTTTTTTAATTTTCACTTGCTAACTGAGGCTCCAGAGAATGTAAAGTACGGTTACTACATGCGCTATGTGTTTTTTTTATTAATTAATTTATTTGGCTTACTTGCTTACTCAACAGATCAGTATAAACTGATAATCTTCATTCTTAGTAACGTTCAGACTGTGGTAACAGTCAGCTGAATGACTATATTCCAACATAAAAGAAATCTTCCCTAGGCAGCCAGAAGTACACAGCCCAAAAGGGCAAATGCTTACAGAAAGAGATGGAGTAGAGGCAAAAAAAAAAAAAAAAAAAATTAAAAAGTTGTGTGCAGAAGTACCCAGCCTAGCACACAGCCTGTAGTTAAAAACCACATGTTTCAGGACAGCTGGTCTTCTGTCTTCACAAAAAGTCCATGTGGCATCTTGTGCAAGCTCTAAGAGGCACAGCCCATTCTCACATACTAAAGACGATGGTATTTCATGTCATTTTATTATATTTTGTTTACTACTTCTACTTGGATTTGAATCCAAGCAGGCATAGATGTGTCCTGGATGGACATGCCTGAGTGCTTAATGATGGTCACTCACTGCAGGGGTAAGATATCATTGTTACTAGGAGAACAGGAGCTCCTATTTCCTCCAAATTCTTCTCCAGACTGAGCTGCAGCCCAGTGCAGCACCTAAGCAGATGTTTGCCTTTAAGCATATTAGTAAGATAACTGGTTTCAGATGCTCTTACATTTTCAATGCCCTTCTTCTGCTTTTTTTTTTTTTTTTTTTAAAGTCAAGCCTATTACCCATTGCAGTTTTGAAATCCCTTCACTTAGTAAGATAACATTAAAAGAAAAAAAAGAAAAAAAAAAGGCCTCAGCCAGCCTAAATTTCAGAGAAATTAGAAAAAGATTCCCAAGGTCTCAAAGGGTGCTTAATTATCTTTCCTGCTCAGATAAGTAAAACAGGCAAATCCATCAAAGGTGATCCGAGGACAAGAGTTCAAGCCCCCATCATTGCTCACATTAACAACCCAATTGTACAAACCCTGAAGGACAGGGAAGTAAGCAACTCAACTATTCAGCAAAGGCTTTACAAAGATAAGGCAGAAAGATGATGCTCAGAGTGCTGGACCACTGTCCTTGTTCTTGGCTTTAGGGTAACAAGCAAACCACTTACCCTGCTGGACATTCAGGAGTTTTTATCTCTTCACAGTCATCATCCACCCAGTGGGTTTCTCCTACCAGAAATTCAAATCAGAGTTTAAGAAAAAAAAAAAAAAAAAAAAAAAAATCTGTGAACACAGCATCAGATTTCAAAGAAAAATTCAAAAAAATGAAGTCTAAATCTGTTAACAGACTGTCTCATTATACTTTTGCAGACAATGATCAATGAAGGGACAATGTCCCTTCCACAAAGCTGAACAAATGTTCTGGCTACATTCTATTCAACAAGAATATCCAAACTGTCACTTCTAGGAGCAGCTCTTAAAACTAAAGCTAAAACTTCCTAGATGAAAAAATGGTAGTAAAGCTTTAGCAACACCAGTCATTTAAAAAAAAATTTCTATTACTTTCAGTTTGTCAAAAAAGTACAGCACTCCTTCTGGTTGCCAATTCATACCCTCCATCCCGACTGGTCTGACGTCTCCATGACCTGCTTCTGCTGGCTAACAACAAAATAATAAAATAAAAACTCTTTCTAGGGAGGAAAAACAACTCTAAGTAGCTTTCAACAGGTTGAAGGAGCTGATCAGCTCATGGATCAGGTGAAGACTCAGGAGCAGCTGAAAAAAAAGTATTAATAGTCTTTCAGAGCTAGCTTATTACTTTACATAATCAACTATTTTGTTAAGGCTTTTACTATTGAATGCTGACTATAGATTGGCTCATGACTTGCACTTTCGCAGGTCAATTGAAAAACAAATTACTAGCTAATGAGGCTTACTTCCCCAACCTAGCACTATTAAGGGAACCATAGCTCAATAAAAACAACAAAAGGAAAAGCACCATAGAAAATATCGGCAAGAAATGCGTCCTGCAGCAATTCCAATTGACCACAATGGGATGTAGAGGGATGATTTCCAAGGGAAAATAAAAATAAACACTATCCTCAGGTAAGCAAAAGCGTGGATAAAGAGGAAACACAGATCTCAGATAGGGCTTATTCCTATCAGAATATCAGGGACACTGAGATTTGTTGTCAGGCAATTAAAAAAAGATTATGTACATTGAACAGCAGATGTAAATTCCTCTGTCTTGACCCTTGTAAGTGGGAGCTCAAAAAAACGTCAGGAACTGAGAACTGCATCATCAGTATTTAAAGTAGACTAAGCCTTGGGTCTCATTGGGAAGAGGAAGAAAATAATCTATGGAGACTTGTTGGAAGGTGTATATTTCACCCGAATTCCCAACAGCGAAATTCAAGTAAAGAAAATCCCACTTTCAGCATTTGGAAACTGTGCAGTTGGCGAAAAGGGTGCAAGGGGGCGGGAAGGAAATCAAAGCTTAAATTCTTCGCCATTAAACAAATGAAGAATTTAGAACTAGGTGAAATACAATAGTAAGAGTTTCTGAGGCTGATTTCCAAGGATCAGAAGACCTCCACAGAATGGGAGACATGTTGTCAAGGCAGGACATGCTCCAAACCATCTAGGTATAGGGTGGTAATTAAGCCTTCACAGCCTGTCCCCCCATCAGCCAGTTCAGGCTGTATTGCAGACATCATGTGTCTAGAAGGTGATATGGTCATTCCCATCTTGTCACCTAGAGCCCATGCTACTCCATCCATAAATTAAAGCTCTTATATTCTCACAAACACTGTCCTGCAAGAAACAAAGCCTACTTGATGCAAGTAGTTTGAACAGATGCTTTTGTAGTAGGGATGGGAGAGGTTTCTGAGACAGAGATAACCTATCTAGGAATGTTCAGTTCCTTCTGAAACCATCAGATCTCCCAGCTTTCCTTGTGATGCAGTCAAATGCACCTGAATACCTTTCTATTTTGTTTTAAATTCTTTGCTTTCAGTACCTTTACAGGGTTTCTACTGTCAAGAAATTAGTTGCGTTCACCTCCACTAGAAGTCCAAAACTCACCCTTTCTTCCTCCCTATTCCCAAAATTCAGAACAAAACAAAGAGGGTTCCTTCTCTAGAAAAAAACTTTACCAACAGGGTTGCCTATTATCAGATTCAAAAGATAAGAGGCAGGAAGACCAAAGACATACCTTTGCAAACGACTTGGTAATTAGTGCAACAGTCTCCTCTACTTAAGCAGTCTTCAGAGCAGTGACAAGCATTGTCATCATTCCTGGTTTCTCCACAGCGGTCTTTGGTACATTCCCAGCCTCGAGCTAAAATATTCACAAGTAAGCAAGAATGAGAGATCATAATCAAAACGAAAAGCACTCACTCAAGCCATAATGACTACATCCAACTTTATAGAGTCTTAAACCTATAGTCCCAGTTTTGTGATTTCAAGTATGTCAAGCAGAAATAAAAGGGAACCTTGTGTCCTGCAAATACAGGACTCCTGCATTCACAGAAGTGCTTCAGCTACAAAGAGTTGTAGTCCAGGTTTTGTACAACTAGAATGCCAGAAAATACATGGAGGGGAGAAGAAAAGAAAGGCTATTGAAAGATAAATGGATTTGTCTGGAGTGCAAACTAGAAATGTTGGTGTTTTTTGTACAATTCATCCTTCTTTGCCCAAATATTCAAGACCCCAGATCAACCAATGGGAAATAAAAGAGAAAGTTGGGAAGAGATTACGTGGGTAGAAATTGATATTATGCTCCCATCAGCTCCTCACGGACAGAAGGAACTTTCAGTACTCAGTGGATGAGATTCAAACCAACTGCAAAGTTAGAAGAACTTGAAGAAACGTACAGTCTTCTTATCTTGCAAATGACGCTAGGATTAAAGGCCTGTCTAAATTAGGGCAGCACAGTGCTACATTTTAGAATAGGGCCAGAGGATGTAACTGTATGGTTTCCCGTATGCTCTGGCCAAAGGAACAGGAAACTTAAAAGATTGCTTTTGACAACATGCAACTAGTTAAAAAAAAAAAAAAAAAAAAAAAAGCAATTTCTCTTACTCCCCATTTCTCCTTGACTTGGGACTTTTTTTGAATAAATATTTAATATTTACAGACTGTGCAAGTGATAATTGTCTTAATAAATACCTATGAGATTATAAGAAAATGTACACAACAATTCTAAGAGCTACAGAGGTATCCCCACATTTAAGTGGATAATGTACCCTGTGGACCAGAGGCTGAGGAACTGAAAGCCTGTTCTTTTGTAGAAAACATCGTACAATGCACCGAAAGTTTTCAGATCCTCATATTCTTCAGTCATTTTCACTGGGACAAAACAGTCTTAGCTTTAAATTTGGAATTTCTTGGCCTGGAAACAAATGATTTTTTCATGGATTAGCTTACAATTTTTTGGTACCAAGCTACTGAAATGATAACATAATAAACAGAATTGAGGAAGTACTCTCAAACATCTCCCATCCATGAGCAGTGATAATTTTAGTCATTAGACTTCTCTTATTTGCTTTGTAAGTGTAATTCCTTGATAAAGCAAGGAAACATTTAATGGCAAAAGTAGAAAGGCACCTGTGTCAACTCTGACCACTAAGCCAACACTCAAAGAGATGAGTACAACTAATAATTCAGACGCACTATGTTAAGAAACAAAACATCACTCATAACACTCTTTGAAGTTCCCTTCTCCTGTGAGTCCTGAAAAAAGAAAGTGAATGTAGAGCTGTATTTCCATTCCCTGGGGTCTAATGAATAGAAGGTAAACGCCTTTACCGGTGTGCTGTATTTGTCCTGACATCTGGAAATTAGAGTCTGGAGCAATGGTAACAAATCCAGCCTGTCACCTCTGAACAGACCTGCACTGCTTTAGCACTCCCAGCTTCCAAGGTACTTTCACAAATAAATGCAATGAACAATCCAAAAGCAAGCATGAACTGCTCAGTTATTAAGTTATCACTTTGGAGAAAAAAGGATGGTTGACACTGAGAGACCAACCTCCCATCTTTACTATCTCTACACTGTAATCTGGAAGGACAACTGGCGCCTGAATACCAATTATTGTTTGTGAATGAGTATCCAAATATCTCCTTTTCAGATAGTACAAGCAGTACCCTGCCTTTTTCTGCAGAAACTATGGCAGAAGCTCAGCAGCAATAGATGCATATCCCTACCACTCCCAGCAAGGATACGTGGGCTGCATTTTGGATCAAGACAAGCCCAGTCAGCAAGAGGAGCAGAAGAAGACCCGGATTATGGCAGGGAGTGCTGGATTATAGCGGCCAGTCCCAACTATTCACATAAGCCAGGCATCATCAGCCCCCACCAACGCGGGGCAGGAGACCCATCCTACCTGTCTTTAAGCACAGCTCATCAAAGTCGAAGCAGCAGCTGTTGTAGCTCTTGCACAGGTTGTCACAGCGGCAGCCAGGAGGCTCTGCCTCTTGAAGTTCAAAGCATCTGTTTTTGCAGGAGCCAGAGGTACTGATCCAGGGGGAATCTGACAGGACTGTGTGGAACAAAAAACAGGGCAACATCTGTCAGGCCAGTAGCAGTGGGACAGGTGACTCAGCCCCAAGCCACTTGGATGAGTGAAACCTCGGCTGCCTGCTGAAGGAAGGGAAGGGAGCAGGGAAAGGAGAAGGGTTGCTTGCAGAACAAAAAAATAATTTAAAAATTTTTAGAAATTGCAAGAAGGCAGCTTTTTGGGGGGGAAAAAAAGAGGAAGCAGCATGCTGTGATAACATTCCGTATAGAAATGGACCTGGCTTTACCTATAACAATCAAGAGATCGTTAGCAGAAATGTATTAATATCTGCAAGGCCCAATTCCAGGAGCTGCAGCTATTCCTTAGAAGCAGGCCTTTGTTTTCAAAAACCAAGTGACATTTTCATGGTTGGCTGGGCAGTTCACATAGGAAAGAACTGCAATTAATCTACACGCAGTCAGCAGGACTTGGTCTGCTATACTAGAAGGTGCCAAATCAATGTCAAGCATGGGTGAAAACCATAAGATGCTCTATAAATTAATGGAGAAGCAAGTAAAGCAAGGCTTTTTGATGGGCTTCTGCAGAGCGTTAAATTATAATATCTAAACAAAAGACTGAAATATATAAGAAGTCAATGTATTTGATGTGTAAAACTAAATGGAAGATGGATAGTCTGAAACCATGAATAATGCATTAGACTTGAATAATCTACTAGCTGTGGCCCTTATTGTCAGAGCTGATGTGTGCTTCCCAGCTATTTTCTCAAAACTTATTATCTCACACATTTTTCCTACCAAAGATTCCTATGTAGCAGCACATTATAAAGCATAGTATAAAGCAGGACAGTTGTGTGCTGCTCTATTGGGGTAATGCTATTTTATAAAATAAACTGAGACACATTCATGTTATTCCTTAAAAACAGAAGTGTTCCAAGGAATATTTCACAATTTCACTGGTACTTTGAGGAACCAATTAAATTAAGTATTTTTCTTTCAGACTATGTTTTGGCTTCGACTTCGGCAAAGCTCAGCATAGTTAGCAGTATGATTTTAAGAGAACTGATGCAATGGCACTTTTGGAAAAGAGCTGTTCTGATCTTTCATGTATTTTTTCCCTACTCTTCTACATGGTTGAAAGTTTAGTCTCCACAAAAACTGAGGAAAAAAAAAACTATTTCCAAACACAATGGCATTATTCCAACACTTTTAGCATTAGAAGATAGAAAAGAGGATGGATAGAAAAGAAGATGGAGAGGAAGGTTAGAGGTGATATCTTTACAAGGAGAGTGGTTAGGCCCTGGAACGGGCTGCCCAGGGAGGTTGTGGATGCCCCGTCCTTGGACGTGTTCAAGGCCAGGTTGGACGGGGTCCTGGGCAACCTGATCTAAATGTGTGTGTTTGGTGGCCCTGCTAGGCAGGGGGGTTGGAACTACATGATCCTTGAGGTCCCTTCCAACCCGGGTGATTCTGTGATTCTGTGATATATGTCCCATCGGCTGCCATCACCAGCACTACTGATCCACTATTTTTCTTGTGGCACTGGTAACAACGCAGGTTGGACACCAGCATTAATCACTTCAAGGAACAAACTGGGCAGCAGATCAATCCTTCAGCAAGGTTACAGTGGGAGGGTGGGATGACAACGGCTGTCATCATGGATCACGATAGTGGGAAGGCACATTCATCTGCAGGCTGGTAAAGGTAAAAAAAAAATAAATCATAGAATATCCTGAGTTGGAAGGGACCCAGAAGAATAATTAACTTCCACTCAATATTTTGGTCACCTGGACCTCCTTGGAGCTAAAAGTGGTTTATCTGTGCTGGCAATACACAGACCAGTGTTTTCTTCGGTCACACAAAAAGGCCACAAGTCTCTGCCAGAAATTAATCACGTGAGAATTGTTTCAAAGCATGTAAACACTCGGATTTTCAGAGATATGAAGTATTAGTCCCTATTAATGACAGCTGCTTTGTGCTAAATGCTCCTGAATATATGTTACTAAAGAATGGTTCTGTTATTTAACCTCTCCTGTTACATTCCTTTTGGAAGACAGGTAACATACTCATATAATCACAGATTGAATAAACTGCAAATCTGGACTCAAAGGTATTACATACAACGACAGACTATATAGTATCACAGAATCATAGAATGGCCTGGATTGAAAAGGACCACGAAGATCATTTAGTTTCAACCCCTTGCTGTGTGCAGGGTTGCCAACCACCAGATCAGGCTGCCCAGAGCCACATCCAGCCTGGCCTTGAATATCTCCAGGGATGGGGCATCCACAACCTCTTGGGCAACCTGTTCCAGTGTGTAACCAGTGCCTGGTTGCAGTACTCCAGATAGGGCCTCACAAGAGCTGAGTAGAGGGGGACGATCACCTCCCTCTCCCTGCTGGCCACCCCTTTTTTAATGCAGCCCAGAACACAGTTGGCCTTCAGGGCTGCAAGCTCACACTGCTGGCTCGTGTCCAGCTTCCTGTCCACCAGGACCCTAAGTTCTTCTCCGCAGGGCTGATCTCAAGCAGATCTTCTCCAGTTTGCATAAATACCTGGGATTGCCCCGACCCAAGTGCAGCACCCTGCGCTTGGACGCGTTGAACCTCATGAGGTTCTCATGGGCCCACTTCTCCAGCAGGTCCAGGTCCCTCTGGATGGCTTCCTTTCCTTCCAATGTATTAACTGCACTGCTCAGCTTGGTGTCATCCTCAAACTTGCTGATGATGCACTTGATTCCATTGTTTGTTGTTGATGAAGATGTTGAAGAGCACCAGTCCCAAGACCAACCCCTGAGGGACACTGTTTGTGACCAGTCTCCACCCTGACACAGAACCATTAATCACAATCCTTTGGCTGTGTCCAGCTAACCAATTCCTAATCTATCAAACAGTCCATCCTTCAAATCTACACCTCTCCAAGTTACAGAGAAGGATGTGGTGAGGGACCGTGTCAAAGGCTTCGCAGAAGTGCAGGTAGATGACATCCATCGCCCTTTCCCCTTCCACCAAAACCACCACTCTACTGTACTTGCACTGGCCTTGCTCTCTTCATTTCAAAGGAACGAGAAGGACACCATTTCAGAAAGCAAAGAGACACACACTAACATAGATTTAGGAAGAAGAAGGTGTAAACCTGACTGCCGATTATAGAAGTAACAGCATCAATTCTATCTAAAGGAATGCCTAGCTATTGTAAAGGGCAGCTCACTTATCCGGAAACCACTGCAACAAATTGTTAACAGAAGCTGTGCAATCTCAGATCTCGGAGATTTGAAGAACAGGTTAGACCAAGATCTGTCAGCAGCGCTTCAGGAATAACTGCCCATGTCTTGGGATAATGTCTACAGAGCTGGTCAAGCTTCCTTCTAGCTCCATCTTCTGCGACTGTAATTAGGGTTTCCATTTCACATGAGGATGGCTTAGCCTAGCTACCTCATTTGTCATTTTTTCCAGATCTTTTGGCATCCTCTCTATTAGTGGTGTGCCAAATTTTCCCAAATTCCATAGCAAATACAAAGCATGAGTCAATGTAAAACACTTTCCATGTAGCAATACAAAAGTAGATGTGGCTTAACTCCCTGATCTCTGTATACGTTATATATTATACATTAAGATCATTCCTTTGTTTACCATGCCTGACCTCAACTTTGCAGCCAGACCATGATTTTCAGGTCGTGCACAATGCCATGGCACAACTACCGGTGCATGCAGAATAGTTTGAAAATATATCATCAGGAGCCCCATTCATGGTTAGCATTTTCATACTGACAGAAGCCCTTGTACAGAACAAACTTATGCAGTTTCAGATTTTCTTTTAAAATTCCTGCATCTGTCTGCAAATTCTACACTGACATTTGCCTCCATGCAACAGGCAAAGGAACCTCACACATGAAGATCCTGCTCTTCTTTTCTAATAGATAGAGCTTTCCATATCCCTTTCAAGCATTCTTTTTTGACCAACTAAGCTCAAAAAAACCCATCTAATGATTGTCTTTTATATATATTAGAGAGAGATCTATACACTATGTATACACTATAAAATGAGACCAAGAAAACTTTTATAGGCACTATGGTACTTTTATGGCATGCGTGTACTATATATAATGGGCTATGGAAAAAAAAAAACAGGTGTTGGATTTGACTTACAGAGGAGTTCTACACTAGATGAGAACTGAAGTTTGCCTACAATCATGGCATACTCCTAGAGAATTTAAAACTTGGTAATATGTGGCAATGGTTGGTAAAGAGAGTCAATACAAAACAATTAATTCTGAACACCAACAAATTTGGAAATGAATAAGCCAAGGCAGACTAGAGTTGAAAAAGAATTTATGGCAACCTTTCATTCTGAACATTTCCTAACGCTGGGCTTCTGATGAAGTACAACTGGAAGTCATACAACTGCAAGAATCTAAATAGCTTACTTGATCATAGTGTTTTTATTTTGTTAAAAATGCACCTCTCCATCATAAGAGTTTACTTTCTCTTCCAGACTCATGTGGCAATAATTTTGTCTTTGTTATCACCTTCCAGTTTTTACTGCAATAAAAGTAACGAGGCTGCCCAAACACACAAGGGACAAAACCCTCCGTTACCTTTTGTCTTCCATTGTTGACACTTAGACTAGACGATGTCAACGCCAGGTTCAGGTCCAATCCCAACCATATGTGAAATCCTAAACAGACTGCCCCAAAATAACCCTTACTTGGGTTATTTTTATATTAAGCCTTTTTGGGAGATATCCTGTATCGCTTGCTGTTCTCCTGGGATACTGAGCTAACCTTCCTGCTACTGGAAACAGCACACAGCTGCTGTTCCTAGCCCTGGCAGCGCTGAATGGTGCTGGTGTGCTCAGCAGAGTTGGCGCTGATGAGCTGCAGTTGATTCCCAGTATCAAACCTTTGGGACTTCAAGGCAAGGCATCTCTGCCTGAAACCTAGACAGCCACCAGTGAAAGCAAAGCAGTCAGGTGTTGCAAGTATAAAATGTAAATCCTTCGCATCACTGTTACACACATTACCCAAATGCTCTACAAACTAGAGATTAAATTAGAAAGAAATTTGATTTATGAGCAAATTTGTTTAACTGCGATATAAATACCAAAAGTAACTGCCACTATCTTTCTAGTTACCTAAAATACCGTTGCTCAGTGATCAGCAGCCTGGATGTGACTGATTTCTGTGATAGAAGGGGAAAGGAGATCACAATATTCTTCACCAGGAACACAACAAACTCAGGCCACCATAAACAAATTTACAATGAAAATTCACAGGCTATCATTACAGATGAGTACTGGAAATGAAACCCTTTCACTTCAGTTATATTAGCCAGCCCTAAGAACCACAGGTTCCCTTTCTCCTCCCAAAAGAAGGAACAGATACACAACTCAACTCTACATCTATTTTAGGTTTTGTTAAGAAAAACACCAGTTTTCCATTGTATATGTTATTTCCACTCAAACGATGCCTGAGCTCACAAAACCCTGTAGTGCTTCCAAACACAAACAGTCCCTTCTATGGCACATTCTTGCTCTCCTCCCCTAGACAGCACATCTGCTGGGTGCAGGACACTAGCACCTGCTCAGCCTCACCACTGTCAGATGTCTGCCTTCTACTGTTCACAAGCTATCATGACCTCAGACGCCACAGAAATCCCCAAAGGTTTCCTCAGCAGCACATTCTTGAAAGTGTTACTCAAAATTAGAGAAATTGCTTCAGTAGTTACCAAAAGTAAACTGGCACTGTTAAACTGATAGGGCTGTTTCTTTTAGATCTAAAGGGGAAACTGTACAGAGCACAAAACAGCATGGGAGAGATGAAGCAGCTAAGGAAACCGATCTCTGCAAGACTGATGGTGCTCAATCCTAAAATAGGCTAGATTTTCCATAGTCGCATGCACACAGAGCAAAAGTTTAAGTAAATAGGAGACCTATAGGTGAGTCCCAAAGGTCAACTGACTCAGGCTCAGTGAGTTATTTCTTCATTATATTCTAGAGGTAAAAGGAACAAGCAAACTACTGTTTCAGAGTAGGAATGGCTTCTAACCACTGCACACAACACAAGGACATTGCGATCCACAATTTACGCCCGTTACTGTACCTGAGATTGGGCCCTCATCCCATTCTTCAGATCTCCTAAAGCGATTCGTTGTAAATCCCATGCAGACATTTACTCCAAAGGCAAAAGCAAATAAAGATATAACCTGCAAAAGCAAAACAGCAGAGTGATCAGACGGTGCAAATCCCCAGACTTCCAAGCCAAGAGCATTAGGATTAAAGGGGCAGAGATGGTCCCTGTACATTCGAGCTTCCCAGCGCTGCAGTTCCCATCACTGGCACAGCAGCTGACAGAGTCACCCTTTTAGAGTCGCACAAACCAGAAGGGGTTTATGAATAAAACATCTCTTTCTGAAGCTGAAACGCTCCTTTTTGTAGGACCTTATTCAGGAGAGACGGGTTACTCCTCCTTTAAAAGCAAACATGCTCTTTTCCTTCCCTACCTGGTGGAAGTGGAAGCAGCCCTTCTTAGCCATACTAGAGGATTCTTGAAAAGCCCGTACGGTACCGTCCCTTTTGCTTTATAGTGAGAGCAGAGCTCTGTTTGCTCTGGGAGTTCGGGCTATTAGCTACAAGTAATCCCACCTGGTGAGGTTGACAGGCTCGTGTGATTTGTCCAGGGGGTGATTTCATCATGTTTCACTCACAAATCGCAGCTCCGAGTGCAAGAAGCTCCAGGCATCATCCCTCGCTGCGCCCTCCCCCCAAACACACACACGCACGCTTTTATGTGGTTTCCTCTGGCAAAGCAGGGCTTTCTTCTCTCACTGCGGCCAATAGCTTTTCCTGCTCATATTATTCTCCTCGCAAAAGTAACATGGCTAAAAGAGAAACCAAATGCGTCTCCATCTGGCTCAGAGAAGAAGAAGAAGAAAGGGGGGGAAGCTCGCCCAGGCTGCGAAATGGAAATATCCCCACGCCACCCTCCAGTGCCACAAAGCGTGGGGCAGCGACCTGGGCACCGCTCTCGCTCTGCGCTGCCAGCCGGGTCGCAGTGTCCCCACGCCAGCGCAGGGGTGCTATTCAGCTCCCGCGCGGTGCAAGGCGCAGAGCGATGGCAACGCACACGGTTTTATTCGGAGGGCTGGAAACCACAGCCTTTCGGAAAGGAAGGGAAGTGGCACGTTCCTTCTGCCCCACATTTTCCCATTTTCTTCCCCAGCAGCAGAAAGCTAAAGCGTTTGGAGAAGCGCTTCTATTGACACAGCAGACGGTAAAGCTGAGAATTATGGTTCAAATCAGTTGTTTAAGTATTGTTTACCAAGGCAGATTATTGACCAGTGTGGTTTGCTTTTTTTTTTTTTTTTTTTTTTTTTTTTTTTTTTTT